GGACCCACTGTGACAGCCTAGTGGCTAGGTGCCAGGATTCCATATGGGCACCAGTTAATGTTCCAGCTGCTCCAACTTCCCATCCAGCTCCCTGCCTGTGTCCTGGGAAAGCAGTGGAGAACGGCCCAAAGCCTGGGACCCTGCACCCGTGTGGGAGACCTGGAAGAGACTCTTGGTTCCTGGCTTCAGATCTGCTCAGCTCCAGCAGTTGTAGCCACTTGGGGAGTGAACCAGATGGAAGACCTTTCTCTATTGCGACGGATCCACCCGGCCGGGAGCAATCAGTCCGACGGGAACAGGACTCCGGGAACGGTGGGCAAGGATTCGGCGAGTGACAAACAAACAGGACAACTCAAGGAAGTTGTATCTGAGTGCATTTTGCAAAAGCAAGGCATCAGCTTATATACAATAGATGATTGCAAAAGAACATTTTCTTTGTTTTTACATGCGGTTACATTTCCGGGGAGGTAAGCAGGTGTGTTGAGTAAAGATTGTTCTCGAACAGCCTGGTGACAGCCTGCGGTTGCTATTTCTTGTGGACGCAGTTTGGCACCAGTTGCAGTTTTAATCATTAAGTAGTTAGCTCTCATTGTGTTTTGTGCCTTACACTGGTTTTAATATTAACTTGCCTATATTTCTAGTTTTTCTTCCTGTATGGCTTTTTAAGCTATAGGTTTCTACTATAATCTTCTTTTTAGGAATTCTCAAACATAGTCCCAAGTAGGTTCATTAAAGCTAGTGACTTGATAGTTTTTATCTCAGACTGCTTGCTATCCTTGTCCAATCTCCCGTCATAAGGCTTCATAGAACTATAAAGGAACATTGAGCCTTTGCCGCACATAAACAGTATTATTCCAGTCACAAAGATAAGAGCAAAGAGAGTACAGCAGGAACGCCGAGACCACTGGAGATGCAGCCGGATCCAGGAGGCAGCCTTCCTTGGAGCTTCCGCCTCGGCCCGGTGATTTCTCACGCAGGCTCCACTGGAGGTGGTGTGACACTCTATATCTCCTTTTCTCTACATATCTGCCTTTCTAATAAAAATGATGAATAAATTGAGAAAGGAAGGAAGAAAAGATGGACGAGAGAGAAAGAGAGAGAGAGAGAGAAAGAAAAGAAGGAAGGAAGGAAGGAAGGAAGGAAGGAAGGAAGAAAGAAAGAAAGAAAGAAAGAAAGAAAGAAAGAAAGAAAGAAAGAAAGAAAGAAAGAAAGAAGAGGAAAAGAAAAGAAAGTAAATGTTTATGTGCTTATACCAAAGTGGAAGGCAAGGATCCAGCCAGGTATGGCTTCGTTCCTGGGCTCCTCCAGTGAGGCCTGCAAGCCCCTAAAATCTCGTCTGAAGTCCTACTCCCTGGGCCTTGCCAGTTGCCCAGTAGCGCCTCCAAGTGGACAACACGGGAGTTGTCCAACCATTTTCCTGATTGGTTACAAATGGCACTTAAACTGCTTCCAAGAATACTGTATTCCAGAAAAGTCTTGCACTTCTCTTGTGCTGTATTTATTTATCTTCTTTGTGCTTGTGGTTTTAGTAACAGTGATGCCTTTTCTATTACGTTTCATCATTGAGGAGAGAATGCAATCGTCTTTTGGCGGCCAATAAAAGGAAACCCTCGGGGTCCCTCGGGGGAGGCGGTTCCGTGTGCAGCAGGTAGAAGGGGTCTCCACCTGGCTCTCTAAAGGGTTATATTAATCTCAGATTCACTCACACATAGATTCCCAGCAAGGCACAGAACTCACACAACCTATAAACCTCATACGAGACAGGATCTATTTAAACTCAAGGTGAGAAAAACAGAGCCTTTTCTATCACAGGGGGGGAAACTGATAATACTGACAACATTGAAATGTTACAACTTGTAGTTGATAACAAATCCGTCCTAACATGGGTCATGACAGAGCAATGCCGAGCATAAGCCACTCGCCTGGCACAGCCTCCTCTTCGCACCTCCCGGCTCAGGGTTGTGGCCCGAGACACACAAAGAATCCTTGCGAGTGAATGAGTAGAAGGGGCAACAGCAGATAAAGAAAAGCAAGAAGCTGGCAGCTGACGGAGAGCAGACCCAGCGGCCCGTGTGCATGACGCGGTTTAGGAGGGAAGAAGGTAGCTGAGGAGCGTGGCTTGTACAGCGAGGCACAGTGAGGCTTGCACAGCGAGGCACAGGCCCAGCGCCGGGCGGCCCCACCAGGCCTCCGTGCTCAGCAGCTCGGGCCTGACTGGTGTCAGCATGAAGTGTCACGCTCCTGGCTCGGGGTCAGCCAGAGCCGCTGGCAGTGCTGGGACAGCTTCTGTCACCTCCTGGAAGGCTCCTCCAGGGATTGACCACACGCACGGCAGACAACACTGAAGGCTTGCGAGCTCTGCTGGCCTTGCGGGAGCTAAGGAGCCACAACAGGTCACCTCCACCGCCAGGGAAGTCAGGTCGGCCTCGGGGAACTCCCACACGCCTGGCAAGACACCAACCAGAAACACACCCTGGCTGCACCCTGCAAACAGCTTTCCCTTGGGGAGAACCTTCCAGAACACAGCAGCCCACGGAAGATGGAGCAGGGAACACATGGAATGTCAGGAAATGGCAGCATGGCCTCCTTGTACACCGACATCATCACCCCGCCAGCAGGCACGTGGCTCACCCCGTCCTCTCCCTTCTCGGGGAGGTGACCCCACGGTGTCTCTTACCATGGCTGTACCAGAAGTTGGGGTTAGTACCTCCTCCCCAGCCAGCCCTCAGTTAAGCTCTCCCTGTTCTTCCAGCTGCAAGCGACAGCCACCCACATCTCTTCCGGCTCCTGCATCCAGCACACAGCATCCTGGCAGGCTTCTCTGGAAAGTTCCGCCAGTGAGTGCACACATACCTTCCCTCTGAGGGAGCTGGGTCCTGCCCTGCCTGGAGGGTTCAACTTTCCTTGCTTCTGTCAGCTCCTGTGCCCTGCAGCCCCTGGACTCAGCACACAGGACTGACAAACCCCCAGGCCTAGGAGGGCCAGGGGGAGGCCACTCTGGCCAGCACACCGTCCTCAGGCACTGTGCCTGGCCTGCAGCTGCCCTGTCTGTCATGGTCCCAGCCCCTCAAGGGACAAGAACCTGCGCGCAGCCTTCCCCGCCCACCCGCTGGGAAACCGAGCTTCAGGTTGAGCCGGGCCACCCGTGGGGTGCCTCCCAAGGGAGCTGCCTCTGTAGGTCCAGTAAGCAAATCACTGTGCCGAGACAGCCACAATGCAGGACAAGCTCCTGCCACCTGCCGCTGTAGCTGTGTTACTGGGCCATCAGGTTGAGACTGCTGGGGCCCACACCCCACACGTGCCAGCAGAGCAGGGTGTGTGTGGCCTGGGAGAGCAGTTGAGGACAGTCTAAAGCCTTGGGGCCCTGCACTCACGTGGGAGATCTGGAAAAAGCTCCTAGTTCCTGGCTCCTGGCTTCGGATCGGCCCAGCTCCAGCTGATATGACCACTTAGGGAGTGAATCAGCAGATGGAAGATCTTCTTCTCTGTCTCTCCTCCTCTCTGTATATCTGAATTTCCAATTAAAAATTTCAAAATATATTTTAAGGAAAAGATTTATTTTTATTGGAAAGGCAGATTTACAGAGGAGGAGAGACACAGATCCCCCACGCACTGTTTCACACCCCAAGTAGCTGCAATGGCCAGAGCTAAGCTGAGTTGAAGCCAGGAGCTTTTACTGGGTCTTCCACATGGGTACAGGTCCCAAGGTTTAGGCTGTCCTCTACTGCTTTCCCAGGCCACAGGCAGGGAGCTGTGAAGTGAAGCAGCCGGAATACGAACCAGTGCACATATGGGATCCTGCCAGTGTGTGCAAGGCTGCCGCTGGGCCTGCAATTTTGTTTCTCTGGATGCCAAGAAGAACAAACAACTCAGAAAAAAGCCTGCTCAGGACTGGCTGGCTCTTCCACAAGTCCAGAAACACCAACATGTAGCGGATTCTGAAAATGAAACCAAGTCCCTCAGCCATGTTCCCCTTCCCTGGAAAGAGGAGAATAAATGGCGAGAGGTGAGACCGTGCTCCCGGCCGAGGCCCTGCTCCCAGGGAATCCAGGGCGCGCAGCTGAGCAGGGGTCCGGGACTTGCTGCAAGGTGGGGCTTTGCCCTTTGTCCTGATCCCTCGGTCCCTTCCCGCTTGCCCCGTGTCTTCTATCTTCTCATTGCAGACGGCTCCAGCTTGACACACTATTTTAGATTTTATAGATGACTCATCATTGCTGAGAGCAGACTCCTGTACTTTCTGCCATAGTATCCAATGTCCTTCTAGAATCTACCGCCTAGCCTGCTTTGATGCAGAGGGAAAGACATGGAGGGTGCCCCTGTGGGGAGGGGACACACGGGAGGGCAAGCCAGGCCTGCCCTGCCTCTCCTGGCCATGTGGAAGCAGGCACTGACACCGGCAGAGCCTGAGGCCCTTCCTGCGTGGCCCCCCAGGGGCAAGCAACGCTGTGGTGCCTGCATCCCATGTAGCAGCCATTCCAGGCCGCACTGCTCCACTTCTCATCCAGCTTCCGTGTGATGTGCAGGGGAAAGCAGGGCAGATGGCATAAGGACTTGGGCACTGCCACCCACGTGGGAGACCTGGCTGGGGCTCCAAGCTTTCGGCTTTGGGTTGGCCCAAGCCCACCTGTTTGAGGCATTTGGGCTTGGGGCCAACAGATGGAAAACCTCGCTTTCTCTTTGTGGCTCTGCCCTTCACACAGATACATCCTTACAAGGGAACCCCAAACCCCAAGCCCAAGCCTGCGCGGGGAGGCGGCAGCTCGCAGGACACACCGCCAGCGTCTCAGCTGACGCGCCCGCGTCCCACCAGCAGGCCGAGGAAAAGGAGCAGGGAGGACCCGATTTCATCCGCAGACCTGGTTGGGCGTCTCGCCTGTCAATTACCGCAGCCCGGAGGTGATTGGCGGCGCCGGGCCGGGCGGAAGCGCGTCCGTCGCGGCGACACCCGGAAGGGCCGATGGCTGCGGCGCTCGGCCGCTGCCCGCGAGGTAAGGCAGAGCGGCCTCCTCGGGATGCTGCCCGGGGCCGCGGCCGCCCTGCTGTGCGCCGCGCTCGTGCTCTACGGGCTACGGATGGACGCAGGTACCCACGCCGGCCGCCCCCGCGGGGACGGGCGCTCGGAGTGGCCGCGGGTCCGCGCGGCGAGGGCCAGCCGGCTGCTGACCTCTCGCGGTGCCGGCGGGCTGGGGCGAGGCCTGGGGGTGCAGGTGGGGTCCACCTGCGGAGGCGCTGACCGCCCACCTCCTCTCCGCGCCTGTTCCGACGGGCGGGACCGAGCCGGAAGGGCGTGGGCAGTGGCTGGCCAGGTGCTGAGTAGTACCTTACAGTGCGGGAGAGAGCGCCGTGTGTGCGGGGTGTGCGGGGTGTGCGGGGCTGTGCGCACGTAGGCACGGACGGACTGCAGGCAGTCGGGAGCCACGATGGCCAGTCGTTCCGTGCCTGGCCTCCGCCTGCAGGCGGCCTGGGCGTGACCAGCAAGTACCTGGCTGCACCTGTGGCTCTGGGTCCCTCAGCATTGGACTGCAGTCCCACCGCAGGGACGTCCTTGAGGGCGCAGGTGCTGTGCGCCAGCCGGCTTTTTCCTTGCCCTGATGCCCTGATGTGGGAGTCTCTGGACTGCACCGGGTGCGATTCCAGGTCGCTGACCACCGCACACCCCGCTCCCCACCGACTGTGGGGACTCACTGTTAACTAGGTGGTTCAAGTCCTGCCCCGGGAGCCTGGCTTCAGCTCTCTGCCCCGTGTGGGGCATTTGTGGTGCGATCTCGCTTTCTCCCTGCCGCACATGGCCGGGGGTAGGGGACAGAGTTGCTTGTGTAAGTGCCAGCTGAATGTCCAGCTGCCGGCCAAACCGGCAGAAGGCCGCTGGCCTTCTGGATTCCACTTGGCAGTCAGAGTGTCAATAAAAACATTACAACACAACACTTAAGAAAAAACAAAGAATAATGGGGCCTGCACGGTAGCTGAGTGGCTAAAGTCCTTGCCTTGCATGCGCTGGGATCCCATGTTGACATTGGTTTGTGTCCCGGCAGCCCCACTTCCCATCCAGCTCCCTGCTGTGGCCTGGGAAAGCAGTGGAGAACGGCCCGAGCCTGGTGACCCTGCACCCGCGTGGGGGATCTGAAAGAGGCTCCTGGCTCCTGGCTTGGGATCAGCTTGGCTCTGGCCTTTGTGGCCGCTTGTGGAGTGAATCATCAGACGGAAGATGTTTCTTTCTGTCTCTGTGTATCTGACTTCCCAATAAAAATTAAAATAAATCTTTTAAAAGATGAATAAGCCTTTAGAAGCAATCCCACTCATTTATGTGAGAGACAGGGAGGCAGAATTCTCCCCCTGCCGTCCCCTCCCCGGCTCCCTGCGCCCGATGGGCCTGGGCAGGACAGAGCCAGCAGCTCTTCGTTCGGTCCAGAGTCTCCCAGGACGTGTCATAGCCGGCACCAGGCTCTCCGTCGTGGGATGCAGGCATCTGAACTGCCTCTCCGGGCACCTGCCTGTGTGCTGAGTGTCTTGGCAGTTTGTATTTTCCTTCTAGAAGGGTTTGAGAAACACCTGCTTGCTCTTGTATTACAATGACAGCATTTAGGTGAGGAGGCCTTCGGGATGTCTCTGGGGAGTTGAAGCAGGTGGCACTGCCCAGGCGCCCGGGGTGGGTGTCGTCCCGCGGAGGGCAGGCGGAGGGCAGGGGAGGGCTCAGCTCTCAGGCTGCGTCCTGCCCTGCACACACACGCACCACCTTCTCTGTGGGTTGGACTGCTGCACAAACTCCCACGTAGCAGTGCTTGCTTTGGCTTTGATCACGGCACCGTGAGCTTTGGAAGTGACCCAACCGAAGCTTGTGGCACTGGCCACGTCCTGTGAGAGCCGCGTCTCAGGCTATGGGCGTCGGGACCCTGCCTCCCGTGCCCCGGGCCACCTGCGGCTGTGATGGCAGAAGGGCTGCGTCTCTGCAGGGCGGGGTGGACAGGCGCCCCTCCCCGTGGGCCTTGGAGGGTTCTGTGCTCGCTCGCCGAGGGTGCTGTGTGAATGCAATCAGTATTCACACCACCAGAATGCATGATTGCGACATAAAGAGGAGGGGGGAAGCTCTAAGTTGCAGCCTGCTCTAGCTGAATGATTTATTTGAAAGGAAGATTGTGCGAAAAACAGAAAGATCTTGCGTGCTCTGGTTTATTCTCCGAGTGGCTGCAGGCCCTGGTGCAGCTGGTGCACTAACCAGCGCCCGGTGGATCTCAGCGGATGCGAGGTGAGGATTTAACCGCTGAGCCATCGCACAGGGCCCGCCTTTTACATGTTCAGCCTTGCGGGTTTGGGCAGTGTTGTAGTCAGTGCTGAAGCCACAGTCTGATGCTGGCCTCCCATTTCGGTGTCAGTGTTTGGATCGTGGGCGCTGTGCTTCCTGTCACATGTCCTGTTACTGTGCCTGGGAAGGCAGTGCATGGTGGCCCATGTGTTTGGGTCCCTGTCACCCATGTGGGAGACCCAACGGAGCAGCTTACTTGGCTGGCCTTACCAGGGAGCTGGATGGGAAGTGGAGCATCTAGGACAGAAACCGGCACTGATAGGGGATCCCGGGACATGCAAGGCGAAGATTTTAGCCACTAGGCTACTGCGCTAGGCCCTTTATTTGATGAGTTTAAACTCCTCGTCTTTATTCCTACTGAGTGGTCCTTTTTCTATTATTTTTTATTTGTTGAACTCTTTATTTAGTGAAGCAATAAGCCCTTGACCATAATGCAAATTGAAAGTATGTTCTCTCAGACATAAAAGGTAAACTAAGCCGGGAAGGCGCCTTGAACACTGCAGGAGAAGCATGGCCGGCTAGCCCTGGGCCACCTTCCAGCTTCTTCCCAAGCCTCTGCGAGGCGCCTGGCAGGGGGGACAGCTCTGGAGACGGGGAAGGAAAAGGCTGTCCATCCCAGAAACGGGAGCTGGAGGCTGAGAAGACGAACGAGTGAACTCCATCCAGGTGGAGCCAGGACCGTGGAACTCCTCGGGGGAGCCAGGACCGTGGAACTCCTCGGGGGAGCCAGGACTGTGGAACTCCTCCGGGTTTCCCATGTGGGCGTCGGGGATGAGCCTGAACCTGCCCGTGCGCTGATGGGGGAGCCCTGGGCACTGGATGTGCCCCACCTGGCGCCCAGGGATGGTCTCCTTTAGCCAGAAGAAGATGGGAAGGAGTAAGATGGCGCTGCTGGGGGAGGGGGAGGGCAGTCTACTCCAGTGGAACTTGGGACGTGTGTGTCTACTGCTTGGGGCTGCTGGCGCCGGTGAGGTGGTGGCTTCGGTCCTGCCTGCTGCTCACGCACACCCTGGAGCAGCAGGTGGTACACACTCCGCTGGCCACGCGGGAGCCCGGTGGGGTGCTGAGCCCCGGGCTGCTCCCCTGCACATCACCCCACTTGGGGAATGAGCCAGCAGACTGTGAGTGCGCGTGTGCGTTCTCTACCTTCCAAATAAATAAGTGACCGTGAAATTTAAAAAAAGGTGCCTTGTGTTAAGAAACTGTGTTTGCAAAGATCTTGAGAATGAACGGCTCTTTATCTGTTAACTCTTTGTACGCCATGTACTGGCTCGTACGCACAGCAACCTGCCCCGCCCCGGCGAGCTGTGTCAAGGGCAAAGTGGACCACATGGGGGACTTTTCCCGACTGGCCAGCTGAAACGCAAGACCATGCAGAGCGGGCAGTCTCGTAGGATGCGGCTCTGAGCCCAGCCTCAGGGCTGTGCTGTATGCAGGGCGCCCTGTGGCGGGGAGCTGGAGGCACGGCCGGGGGGCACTGCCGTGTGTGGGAGACCCGGGGTGCCTACTGCCTGTGGGGAGGGCAGACCTTCCTGACCAAAGGAATTGGCAGTGAAGCGAGACAGTTACAGTAAGAGTGTTTTCTCGAATGGACAGAACCTTCTGGAAGATTGAGTAGTTGCCCCTTTGTGAGATGTTTCTGACGTAAAGCTGATGTTTCGGTGTCACATGTTGCTTGGCTCCCCAGCAGCACAGGCGCGCAGAAGTGAGCCACGGGGCCACGGGCGGCCTGGGTGTGTTCTGTTCAAGCTGCCTTCCTGGCGGCTCGCAGTTGCCGCCCCTGCCTGCTGACCATCTTCTTTTTCTGTCTTCCAGTTTTACAAAGAGGACTGTCCCTGCCGGCAGCACGTTCCGTCGCGAGCATGGACGAGACGGCCCTGCTGCTGAGGAGCATCGTCCCTCCGCTGGCCGCTGGCAAGCACAAGGGGCAGGACGGAAGGATCGGCGTGGTCGGGGGCTGCCAGGAGTGAGTGGCAGAGCCGGGTGGCGGGGACAGAGTCTGGCTCGTGTCTGTGTCTAGTTGAACCCAGGAATCATCTCCAAGTGTATCCACATGATAGGGGGCTGGCTTTGTGGTGCCACAGGTTAAGCCACCACCTGCGTAGCCATCCTCTCCTATGTGTACCGGTTCCAGACCAGCTCCCTGCTGTTGCACCTGGGACAGCAGCAAACGATGGCCCAGGTGCCGGGTGCTTTGCCCACGTGGGAGACCTGGAGCAAGCTCCTAGCTTCTCTCCAGCCCGGCCCGGGTGTTGTGGTCCTGTGGGGAGTGATCCAGCAGTTAGAAGATCTCTCTCCCTCTCTCTGTTACTATGCTTTTCCAATAAAACAAATATTTTTCTAGAAGATGTATCTGATCGGACACTCAGTAATCAACTTGTTCTTGGTTTTCAGCTGGTGGACTTTGTGCCTAGTGGCAGAGGAGGCCTGTGGGGCCCGACCATCCCCGGGGGGCTGTGAGGCCTCTGTGGGCGGGGAGACCATTTTCTGTGATCAGCCTCCCTGCACGTCCCGGGCCTCGTCAAAGGCGGGGGAACGTGCAGCCTGTTTCTGGCTGACTTGGCAATTTGTGAAATCTGAAAGACTGCAGCTCTTACATTTTTTTCTTTTTAAAGACTTATTTATTTGAAAGAGTTAGAGAAGTATTCTGTGTACTGGTTCGCTCCCCAAGTGTCTGCCATGGCCACGTGGACCGGGCTGAAGCCGGGAGCCAGGAATTTCTGAGTCTCCACATGGGTGCAGGGTCCCAAGGCTTTGGGGCATCCTCCACTGCTTTCCATTAGCATGGAGCTGGATGGGAAGTGGACCATCTGGGACAGGAACCGGTGTCCATATGGGATGCGGCATCACAGGCCGTGACTTTACCTGCTATGTCATAGTGCCGGCCCCTTGCTTTTTTTTTTTTTTTAATCTATTTTTATTGGACAGTCAGATATACAGAGAGGAGGAGGAGAGAGAGAAAGATCTTCCCTCCAGTGATTCATTCCCCAGCCAGCTGCAATGGCCGGAGCTGGCTGACCCCAAGCCAGGAGCCAGGAGCTTCTTCCAGGTCTCCCACGCGGGTGCAGGGTCCCAAGGCTTTGGGCTGTCCTTGACCACTTTCCCAGGCCACAGGCAGGGAGCTGGATGGGAAATGGGGCCGCCGGGATTAGAACCAGCACCCATATGGGATCCTGGGACATGCAAGGTGAGGACTTTAGCCACTAGGCTACTACCACACTGGGCCTTAGGTTTTGTTTGTTTGTTTTTTTTTTTTTTAAGATTTATTTTTATTATTTTTATATTGGAAAGGCAGATATACAGAGAGGAGAGACAGAGAGGAAGATCTTCCGTCCGATGATTCACTCCCCAAGTGAGCGCAACGGCCAATGCTATGCCAATCCGAAGCCAGGAGCCTCTTCCGGGTCTCCCACGCGGGTGCAGGGTCCCAAAACTTTGGGCCGTCCTCGACTGCTTTCCCGGGCCTCAGGCAGGGAGCTGGAAGGGAAGCGGGGCTGCCGGGATAGAACCGGCACCCATATGGGTTCCCGGGCGTGCAAGGTGAGGACCTTAACCACTTGCGCCACCGCGCCAGGCCCCCAGGTTTTGTTTCTTAACCCAGTGTTACAGTGTTTGCCCTTTAAAATCTGTTGTACTATTTTCTCAACGTTTTTTTTTTAATTGGTTTATTTTGAAAGAGTTACAGAGCGAGGGAGAGACAGGCAACGGGGTGGATCTTCTGTGCTGTGGCTCACTCACCAGATGGCTGGAGCCTGGCTGGGCCAGGCCAAAGGCAGGAACTTGTTTCAGGTTTCCCACATAAGTTGGCAGGTGCCCAAACATTTGGGCCATCGTGTGCTGCTTTTCCCAGGCCGGTAACTGGGAGCTCGGCAGGAAGTGGGGCAGGCAGGGCACCAGCAGGCGCTGGCACTGCAGGTGGTGTCTACTCGATGTGCCAGGGTGTGCAAGGCACTCTAACTAGTAAACGTGGCCATGTATTGAGGGCACATTGGTGTGTAGTCTGGGTGGGAGTCTTGGAACAGAGCCTGGAGCCTCTGCCCTTGGTGGCGGAGCCTGGGAGAGCCCCGTGGGGCGGGGGGCCTGTCAGAGCCCCAGCCAGTGAGAACAGAGCCTGTGTCTTTGCACCCAGCCTGGACCGAGTCCTTGTTGCTGCAGCGGGTATGTCTGCCTGTGTGCTCTGCTGGTGAGGTGCTCAGGGTTAGGGGCCAGCCTGAGGAGTGAGACGCCCTTGTCCTGCCAGTCGGAGTGGGCACGTCCTGGGTCAGGAGGCCATGGTCCCGGCTGGTTATTACCCAGGGTCCGTCCTGTGACTGATGCATCAGAGGACACATGCGTTCCAAATGCTGCTGAAGGTTGAACCGCCCACCCAGCCCTCTACCTGTTCGTGGTGGGTACAGTAGCCTCTGCCAGCCGAGGGGCCACAGGCATTGCTGAGCTGTTTCTGTGTGTGCATCGGCACGTGTGTGCACATGTGTGCACATGTGTGTGTGTTGGCCACTGCTTGTTTGGTCTGTTCGTGACACGCCTGAGAACAGGCTATGCTGAAATAGGCAGGTGTAAGTGGCACCTGGTTCTGTGGGCTGAGTGTCCTGTTTGTCTTCCTTCGGTCAGGACAACTGTCCTGGGATGACTATAAAGTGACACAGGTTGGGAGCAATGGCTCAGTGGCTAAATCCTCCCATCGCATGCGCAGGGATCCCATATGGAGCCAGTTCATGTCCCAGCAGCCCCACTTCCCATCCAGCTCCCTGTGTGTGGTCTGGGAAAGCAGGAGAGGACAGCCCAAAGCCTTGGGACCCTGCACCCGCGTGGGAGACCCAGAAGAGGCACCTGGCTCCTGGCTCGGCATCAGCTCAGCTCCAGCCATTGTGGCCACTTCTGGAGTGAACCAGTGGAGAGGTCTTTGTCTCTGTCTCTCCTCCTCTCTAAATCTTCCTTTCCAATAAAAATAGATAAATATTTTTTCTTTTTTACTTTTTATTTATTTATTTTGAAATAAGTAAATCTAAAAACTAAAATGGCAGTTGCACTCAGACACCGAGTACCGGGTCTGGAGTCATCAGCGTGGTCCCAGCAGCATGGGGCCCTGCTGGCTGCTGCAGAGCAGGTGCTGTGTTGAGGACGCACAGAGGGGTGAGCCGGGGTCCCAAGGAGGGGGTCGGTCAGTCCCAGGGGCCCAGCTGGAGAGCAGCATCTTCTAGGCTGTTCTGAGCTCACAGCTGCCCAGCACAGGAAGACACGCTCCCCAGGTGGGGTCAGCTCCCCGAGGGAGGCAGTGTGGAGGTGTGTGTGCAGGGTGCTTTCCGCTGGCCGCAGCTCACCGAGCGTCTGCCCAGGGCTGGGCTTGCACTGTGCCCTGTGTCCACACTGTCAGCAGGGTCTGTCCGAGCGGGGTGGAGAACCTGTGCCTGCCTCCCGCCTCCCAGTCCCGCCCGACTCAGCGTGTCTTCCCTAGGTACACTGGAGCTCCGTACTTCGCAGCCATCTCAGCTCTCAAAGTGGTATGTCCGCCTCAGCCCGCTGGCCACACTGTTACACATGCTGGTGGGGAGCTGCCCAGTGCCGTAGTGATTGTAGGGGACGGCAACGCCTGTCAGCCCACCCTAGCTCTCCTGCAGGGCTGATGCTGCTGCCAGTGAAGCCCTTTGGACACTAAACGTGTGTTCGTTCAGCGCACTCTTGGGGAGCCTCGAGGGTCCCAGGGTGAGCGGCTGATGCCAGCACGGCAGCGTCAGGTGGGCTGGGCCAACCTGGTGCTCCTGGCAGCCACTGGGGGCTGAGCCCCAGGAGCCTGGCTGTCTCGGGCATGTCCTTCGGTCACCATGGCAGTGCTGTGGACTAATATTCTTATTTAACATCTGGATGGGTGCCGGCTGCAGCTGGACGGGTGGGCTACCATGTGCCTTGTCGGCTTTCCAAGTCTGCTTGGTCTCCAGGGTGCAGACCTGTCCCACGTGTTCTGTGCCAGGGAGGCGGCGCCCGTCATCAAGTCCTACAGCCCGGAGCTCATCGTGCATCCCGTCCTGTGAGTGCCTGCGGTGCCCTCCTCACTTCCATCTCTGGGTCCCGGGTGCTGCCCGCTGCTGTGGCATCTGCCGGAGCAGCCCAGGGCGGGGGTGCCTACTGGGCACTGGTGCATGGTTGGTGGGCATTGCTTGGCGTCTGCTGGAGTAGCCCAGGGCAGGGGTGCCTACTGGGCACTGGTACATGGCTGGTGGTCATTGCTTGGCGTCTGCTGGAGTAGCCCAGGGCGGGGGTGCCTACTGGGCACTGGCACATGGCTGGTGGGCATTGCTTAGTTTAGTCTGTTATATCCTTGTGCTGGTCCCTCCTTATTGGGCAGTTCCACCCAGAGACCAGCAAATGGGACTGTGCATGTGGGATGGCAGGGGCCCAAGAAATTGGGCATCTCCCTGTTTTCCTGGCACAGCAGCAGGGAGCCAGCTCGGAAGCAGAGCAAGCAGGACTCAAGCCATGGCTCAGGTGGCTTTAACATGCTGAAGCACAGAGCTGCCCCTGGCATGGATGGTGACAAGCACGAGGTCAGGCAATGTCATGGAAGAGCGGGGCAGGTGCCTCCAGTGGGAGGGGTGTCCTCTGAGGCTCACAGCACTGGGCCAGGGCTTGTGACTGCGTCTCACCCCATGATGAAGACCAGCAGAGGCGACAGAGGCCCTAGTGGAGTGAGTCGTGCCCGAGTACATGGGAAGTGGAGTGCCACACGGGACAGTGAGCAAGGCCACAGCGGCGTGTCCCTCCTTCCCACATGCACAGGGGTGGGGACCAGCTGCTGATCTCAGGGGGTGTAGGCCACTGGAAGTTAGCTGTGTCGCAGTGTGGCTTGCTGTAGGCGTTCGCAGTGAGGTGGACACTGCATGGGGGGCGGGCCTGGGAGCAGAGCGAGACTCGTGTGAGAACTGACAAACACACTTGTAAGTAAGCCATCTTCCCGTCATCCAGTGACAGCCCGAATGCGGTGCAGGAGGTGGACAAGTGGCTGCCCCGGCTGCATGCCCTCGTCGTGGGACCCGGCCTGGGCAGAGAGGACCGCCTGCTGGGAAATGTCCAGGTGCCCGGCGGCCTAGCTTGCATGGGTGGGACTGCGTGGTGTTGCATATTTCCTGTCCAGCTCCAGCTGCTCTCGGGGTGGGCGTTGTTGAAAGTGGGTTTAGCTGCCACTCAAGATGCCCACATTTGATCCTGCACTGTGACCCAGGCTCTTGATAACATGTCCTGGGAGAGCTGAAAGAGCCCTGGGTCCTGGCTTTGGCTCAGCCATGGCTGGTGCCATCCAGGGAGTAAGCCAGCGTGTGGAAGAGCTCTCTCTTACCCAATTAGATGAAACTAAATGGTCACTAAATGTTCTGAAGTGACTGCCTGCCCTGCTCGGCTCTTCGGACACCGGTGAGCAGCAGTGTCCACGCCTGAGACACGTGCAGAGCAGCCCCAGCACCCACAGTGGCCCGCTGACTCCCACAAGGGGTTCTGTGGCTCATGATTTGGGACATCACCTGCTACCGCCAGGATGTGTGTCAAAGGGGGCTGCACCTGAGTTGAGGGGCCGGACTCCAGCAGGCCCCAGTGGGGTGCAGGTGTCCCTTCATGCCACATCACTGCTGTACCTGCTGTGGCTTCCAGCACTGCCCCCTGCCAGGCAGGGGTGGTCTTGCATGCAGCTCCAGTCTGTGGTTTTGCTAGAACACATTGGCTATTGGTAAACAGCAATGTGTTAATTACACAAAGGGTACTGTAACAAGTTCACAGAGATGCATGTTACAAACATCTCTGGTTGCTAAATTTCACCAAAATAAATACTTTGGGGAGGGGGATTTTATTATTTTTATTTATTAGGTATATAGAAAAAGAGAAACACAGCTCTCCTTTTGCCAGTCCCCGCCCCAAATGAGCAGTGCTGGGCCAGGCCAAGCCAGGAGCTGGGACTCAGCGTGGTTGATGTGGGTGGCAGGAAGCTGGCTATGTGAGCTGTCACTCCTGCCACCCAGGGAGTGGGCATCGGGGCAGAGTGAAGACATGACCCGGCACCCCAGCTTTCACACCAATGCCCTCACTGCAGACCAAGCGCCTGCCCCCGGAACGCACAGTTAGAACTCCACTTTGTGTGAACATTTCGCAGCACCCTTGGGTCCGTGTGTGTGCGTGGATGTGTTTTAAACGTGGAGCCCACTGAAGCTCTTAGGATGGTTCTAACAAAGAATGATGTGATGTCTATTGTTGTGGTCGGTCTGATTTTAAAATAGCCAAGGAAAGTGTGTTAAAATGCTGGGCATTTGTGAGACTTGGCAGGAAGTCAGATTTTGGTGTCTGCTGTAGGCGAGCCTCTGGGCTCCCGAGGTGTGGTCTGGGTGGGACCCAGCCCATGCACATGTCTGCCGCCCACATGCCCGCTGCTTGGCATACTCTGGCTGTCTGCCGGGTCTCGCATCTCTCCTGACTTGCCCTTAGCTCTGCTTCTGTGTGTGCCCAGCCAACGGCCTGCTCTGAGCAAGTGTTCTTCCCCACAGGGCATTCTGGAAGCATCCAAGGCCAGGGGCATCCCCGTCGTCATTGACGCGGTGAGTGTGGCTTCTCCTCGCCCCACTGTGGGGACGGGCCCTGGCAGGACGCCCAGTGAAGGCAGCGGCTCATCTCGCACAGGATGGGCTGTGGCTGGTGGCACAGCAGCCGGCCCTTGTTCGGGGCTACCACAAGGCCCTTCTCACACCCAACCAGGCCGAGTTCAGCAGGCTGCATGAAGCTGTGGTGAGTGCCCACAGGGCGCGAGAGGGCCACCTCCTCTGCGTGCCCAGTCCCCCTAGGGCCTGGCTTCTATGACAGGAACATGTGGATCCACGCGTCCCCAAACCACAAGTGTTCTGCCCTTCCTGGGGCCGCTGGCCTTGGGGTTTCTATCCTGCAGCCTTGCAGTGCCCACCATGGTGCTGGCCTGACCAGCAGAGGACAGGCACTGTGTGGGCTTGGCCACTTAGCCTCTGGCAGTGCCCAGTGACTTGTTAGACCGAGTGAGCTGGTGAATGGCACGGGGCCATGCCCACGTGCCTATCTGAGGACCGGGTTCCGTTGGCTTCACTCTGTTGTCGCAGCTCGGAGGGCCGGTGGACAGCGAGGACCGTGCTGGCTCCGTGCTGAGGCTCAGCCAGGCCCTGGGCAACGTGACCGTGGTGCAGAAGGGAGAGCGTGACGTGATCTCTGACGGGCAGCAGGGTGAGTGGGGTTGGAGCCGCTCACACACATGCCTTCTCAAGCTTTCACACACACCCCTTTGGAGCAGATGTGGGTGGTGGGCTCACCCAGAACCCAACCTGGAGCATCTTGCCTGTCGCCTTCTCCACAGGGGCAAGCCGACGGAGCCCTGGGCAGGCTGGGCTGACGGGGCCAAGGCCAGGCCAGGCTGAGGGCTGACGGGGCTGACGGGGCTGAGCTGACGGGGCTGAGGGCTGACAGGGCTGAGGGCAGGCCGGGCTGACAGGGCTGACAGGGCTGAGGGCAGGCCGGGCTGACGGGGCTGACGGGGCTGACAGAGCTGAGGGCTGACGGAGCTGAGGGCAGGCTGGGCTGACGGGGCCAAGGGCAGGCCGGGCTGAGGGCTGACGGGGCTGACGGGGCTGAGGGCAGGCCGGGCTGACGGGGCTGACAGGGCTGAGGGCTGACGGGGCTGACGGGGCTGAGGGCAGGCTGGGCTGACGGGGCTGAGGGCAGCCCGGGCTGACGGGGCTGAGGGCAGGCTGGGCTGACGGGGCTGAGGGCTGACAGGGCTGAGGGCAGGCCGGGCTGACAGGGCTGACAGGGCTGAGGGCAGGCCGGGCTGAGGGCTGACGGGGCTGACGGGGCTGACGGGGCTGACAGCAGGCCGGGCTGACGGGGCTGACAGAGCTGAGGGCTGACGGGGCTGAGGGCAGGCCAGGCTGACGGGACTGACGGGGCTGAGGGCAGGCCGAGCTGAAGGCTGACAGGGCAGCCAGTACTGTCTCTGTGGTCCCAAGTTCTCCCTTCAGCCAGACCTGGTGAGGTCACAGTGGGAACTCTGTGACAGAGCTGCTGATCGGTCCCTCAAGTGAGGGCACATGTGGGCAGTGTCGCTTGCACACTCCCCTTGTGCACGGGAGTCCCTGCCTCCGTGGGGGAGGGGTCCTCCCTGCTGGACCCCCTGGCTGTGACACAGAGAACAGGACGCCTGGTTTTCACAAGTGACGCTTGTGTGACTGACAGGCTTACACGGGTTAGCATGTGGTGGGAAAGGAGCTGAAGGCTTGCTTCCTCCTCCGTGAGCTGGAGCAGGCAGGCAGGGAGTGTACATAGTGTGTAAGGTGTGTGCATGGCCATGCCGTCCACACTCCTGCCCGCCCTCCGCAGTGCTCCTGTGCAGCCATGAAGGCAGCGGCCGCAGGTGCGGGGGGCAAGGAGACCTCCTGTCCGGCTCACTGGGCGTCCTGGTGCACTGGGCTCTCCTCGCTGAACCCGAGAAAACAAATGGGTAAGGCACGACCTCCCGGGTCCCCTGAGATTCTGACTGCCGGGGTTCTGTAGCTCCCCCAAGGGTCAGTCGTGGGCCCCAGAGTCTACGTGAAGCCCACGCTGAAGGTGTGACTGGCTCATGGTGTCCACTGTCAGTGGCGGCCCAGGCCGTGGGCCCTGCAGTTCTCAGACTACAGACACGCACAGTGACCCTGCAGCCACACGTGCTGGCACAGGAGGTGCCTGTCCTCTGGTAGCCTTGGCCACCTGTGGTGGACTAAGGCTGGGACACACACCTGGCAGGACCACCGCCCAGTGTGGGTATGTCCATGTGGACTTGAAGCGGGCACTGGTGTGGGAGTCCCTGGGCAGGCATGGGGGGTCCCTCTAGCTCTCCCCACCCCCAGCATGTCTGTCACAGTGGCAGCAGGAAGGTGTCAGGTTTGTCTGTGTCCCCCAACCCCTGCAGCTCGGGTGGCCTCACCTTCCCTACAGACATGTCCCCAGGCCCGGGGCACCTGTCCCTGGCAGGCCTAGGGCACCTGCCCCTGGCTTCTCGCTGATGCCCTTCCCTTGCAGCTCCAACCCGCTCCTGCTGGCTGCCCTCGGGGCCTGCACCCTCACCAGGCAGTGCAACCGCCAGGCCTTCCAGAAATACGGCCGATCCACCACGACCACCGACCTCATCGCCGAGGTGGGATCTGCCTTCAGGGCGCTCTTCGAGACCTGAGCCCATGTGGGTGCCAGGGCTCCTGGTGGCCTATGAGGGGCGTCATGGGGCTGAGCCCACTGTCGCACTGGGTACAGTGTCTCAGCACAACTCACGTGACACTAACACGGACTTCCTGCAGCTGAGGGCCTGTGCCCACCCCTCCACCCAGCTGTCTGGGCACCCAGGACCCAGCAAAGGACCCCTGAGCAGGAGCAGGTGCCAGTGGTTGTGGGGGCTTCCCAAGTATTGCAGAATAAATCTGATGTGTTCTCCTGGGAAGCTCTCGCGCAGATGGGGCAGCCCCGAGGAGAGACGGGGACATGGCCTCAGGAGTGGCAGGGTACGGCCAATACTCGGCAGTCGACACAGCACAGCCCACACTGGACCAGGCTGGGGCCGTGGAGCCAGGGCCTGGCCGGGACTGGTGATGGCTTGGGAGGGGGGCACAGGTCAGGTTGGCTGGGGGCAGCCCCAGAAAGGGATAGTGAGAAGCTTCAGCCCGTGGCACAGTGACCACGAGGCCAAGAGGGTGCGCTGCTGCAGGGCCCTGGCCTCCACCCCGTGGGGATGCCAGCAGTCAAGGCTTAGAGCAGAGAGCCTTCTGTTCTTTGGAAACACCAGCAGGTGGCAGCCCTCTTACTTCCCGCCGCCAGTTCACTACCCAGACACTCAGCAGGACAAGCCCGAACAGTTGGCTGCGCACCTGGCTGGAAAGGTGGACGCCTGGCTCTCAGTTCATCCAAGAGACACTGCCACGGCTCCATGCCGGAGGACATCTGAATCGCAGTGCCTCCCAGGACATGGGTCTAGGTCACTGAGGTGTGAGAACAGACATGGTGGGATACTGGGGGTGAGGCACAGGGGCCTGTGCGCCCCCCGGCTGGCCGCCATAACTTGGAGGCGAAGTAGCCGCTTGCTCATGGAGGACAGGGTGGTGTGGGCCAGTGGTCAGGCTGCCTCTCGGCCGCATGGCTTCCCCTCCTGTTAGCAACCCACACATGCTGCTGGCTGCGGGACGTACACATGTGAGCCGTCCCCACCTCCCACTGCTCAGCAGCCCCACTCCCCTTAACACACCAAGTGGGGAGCATGGGACCTCCTGCACTCCGCTGTGGCTTGGGAGTGCCAGTGCTCTCAGGGTCACCAGGGTGCAAAGACTGTCCACACCCACACTCACCCACCAAGGCGGGGGCAGGGCTTACCTGCCTCTTGTCTGCTCGTTTTACACCTGGTGCTGCACCTGTTACATGTGCAAGGCGTTCAAGGGCACCGCCAGGCCCCACCTGCACGGGAGCCCCTCCAGCCATCCAGCCTCTACATCCTGGTTCCAACCCTCGGTCGCCGCCAGGTACAGCTCACCAGATAGATGTCTCCCTGGGGGACCCCACGTTGCTGATCCGAGCACAAGGCCTGGCACTGCACAGGGAGGCCCAGACACCAGACAGCGCCCATGTATTTATTGTTACTGCCAACAACTGCACCAGGACATCCCGCCCTGCTGCCTCAGCCCCCCGGCTTCTGCTGTCTCATCCTTGGGTCCAGCAGCTCCCACGTGGACACTGTGCTACTTCTGTCCTGGGGGGACAAGGAGGTCCTGTGAGCAGATGGGAGCTTACCCCTCACTCATAGATGCCACCTTGCCAGAGGACAGGGGCACCCCTGTGTGTGTGTGTGTGTGCGTGCGTGCGCGCGCGCAAGCAGGGCCTGGTCCTTCCTGCTGAGCCTCGCACCCCAGCAGCAGGCCCCAGGCTCACCTTGATGCTGATGCCGTGGGCAGCCAGGTTCCGGCGCAGCTCATCGCAGGCCTCCAGCAGGGGCCGCCGGGCCTCCCCACCAGTTTCAGGTGTGGCCAGCGCCAACTGCCGGACCTTCAGCCGGAAGTGTACCAGCTCTTCCACCACGCCGCGCAGCGTGGTCGAGCTGCTCTCTCCTGCAACACACTGGACCCCAGAGGCCCCACTCAGACACGGCCACATAGGCAAGAACAGGGCTGGTTCCAGGCCTGGGCAGAGGCACAAGCAGGAAATGGATACCAGTGTCCAGGCACAAGCCAGCCCCAGGCCTCCGCCTCAGAAACACACAGGATGGGCTCTGCAGGCTGCAGCAGAGCAAGGGGGAAGGAGGAGTTCCTGCAGGTGACCTCAGGGTGCACACGGGTACCCACACAAGGGGCAGCCCTGCTGTGAAGGGGTCCCCACACTGAGGAAACACAGCAGGGTCCTACACCCCTGTGGCTGTGGACATCTGGGTTGGCCAAGGTGGGATGCCGTGGCAACATGCAGCCGCCCCACCCATGAGGGTCCCAGGCAGACATCACCAGGCGATAGCAGAAGGGGACAGAGCAAGTAGGTGGGGACGCTGGGACGTGCAGGACACCACAGGGACAGCAGGGACCCCCGAGGGGCAGGAGGCCAGTGGCTGGTCTACAGGAGGCTTCCCTTGCTGCCGTGGCCCCTGGGCATTGAGCGTGTCAGAGATGGGGTGGGTACAGTGTGGTGCCTGGGCCACTGCGAGTCGGCCAGTGCCAGGACGTGGATTTTAGGAAGTGTCTTACATAAACCAGCTACAAAGGGAGCCCTACATGTGGGGTGTGGGCACCCCAGAGCAAGCACACATAGGAAATGGCACACCTGCTGATCCGTCAGGGAAATCCCAAGTGTCGCAAAAAACTCCTCCACGTAGGACACGATGGCACCCAGCACCGCAGGACTCCGGGGGCCGCTGGGGTCCTGGAAGACAGGGCACACCGCTGGCACCCGGGAGAGCAGTGCCAGGGTCCCTGTACATGTGTGGGAAACCCGGTGGAGCTCCTGGCTTCAGCCTGGCCCAGCATGGCCATTGCAGCCAACTGGGGAGTGAGCTAGGGGATGCAAGATCTCCGTCCTCTTTGTGTAACTTCCCCTCAGATGAACTAACTTAAATTAAAAAAAAAAATTTTTTTTAAGCCCTAATTTAAGTAAATGTTTGGAAACAGCCGCCAGCTGTGAGTATATGAAGGAAGTCGAGGACAGGGCAGAGCGAATTGCCTGAAATGGCTGGCCATTGCTGGAGGCCAGCGCTTGGGCTGCCCACCGTGACATGGGCAGAACAGCTGGGCCTGTTCACCAGTGACGGGGTACAGTTCCCGGGGCGGCGAGGGAAGGTGGTGGGAGCAGGGCTCCGTGAGAGGAGGCCTCTGCCAGGTGAGCACGACCCTGGGGTCCTGGGGTGGTGGGCCAGAGCTTGAGGGAAAGCTGTGAGAGCCACAGTCCGAGGCTCTGCCCCTGGCCACCTCCGAGGGGCGGAGATCAGGGCTGGGACAGCCTGAGCCTGGGCCCACCCCTGCTGGCCACCGTGGGAGCTGGACCCGGTCTGCCCACTCACCTGGGCTGGCTCCCCATGCACCTGTCACCCACCTACAGGTCCTTCAGACCGAGGGAATGGCAGTGTGGCCAGGGAGGAGCTGGGCAGCCCTGATGGTCAGCTGGAGCAGAACCCTGTGTGCGGCCTCCTCGCGGCCACCCCGAGGGCAAGGCCCTAACGACGTATGTCCTGGGCCAAGCGGACACAGGCCACTCCCAGGTGCCCTCAGCGGTGGGGCACCAGCTCAGTCCTGCCTTGGGGGTAACCAGGAGTTCCTGCAGCAGACAGCAGATGGGGACGCACGCAAGGGGCTGCCCTTGGGGCCAAGGCGGGTGTGGGACAAGGGTGTCACCACCCGGGCGCCTCAGCAGCCAGCTCACGTGCCACCAAGACCCTCCAAGAAGCAGCGCCTCCCACAGGCACTTCTGCATGGCACTCCTGGGCTAGGGAGTGGGGCACAGGCTTAGGAACCATGCAGGACAGACGTCTGCCTCCACCCCGGCCCTGAGCCCCCAGGCCGGGGCGGTGAGGTGCTGAGCCCGCCTTACCTTGGTGGCCACCCTGAGCTCTCTGCTGGCATGGTGCACAAGGTCCAGCACAGCCCCCACGGCCCGGGGCGTGTCGAAGTCATCAGCTAGCGCCGCCCTCACAATCCCTGGCACACGGCTGAGCCTGCGGAAGCACGAGTTGACAGGTCACGGCCCGGCCTGCTCGGCTGCGCACACCTCATCCTGAGGAGCCTTCCTAATCGTTAAGGTCTGTTTATTTGAATGGCAGGGTTATAGGGATGGTGGTGGAGAGCGGCCATGTGCGGGTTCACCAAGTGGCTGTGGCAGCCAGGTCTGGACCAGGCCAGAGCCAGAACAAACTCCCCCTGGGCCTCCCATGTGGGTGCAGGTGCCCAAGCACCCTGCCATCCTCTGCCACTTTCCTAGGTCATTAGCAGGGAGCTGGATCGGAAGTGGAACAGTGCCCACATGTGATGTCAGGTCCACCAGCTGTGCCACAGCACTGAATGTGGGCTGGGGGCTGTAACTCAGAGACCCACCCCAATTATGCTGTCTCACAGGGAACAGTCACCGCATGCTGGCAGCCTGAGGAGACCAGAGTAGGTAGCTGGTACAAGCACACGCCGAGGCCAGGCTTCTGAGGGCTTCAGACCAATAGAGCAAGCGGCACTCTCACCAGCCAAGCATGCAGAGGCTGCACCAGGGAGCGGCCCCTGGGGCCCTCACTTCAGCTTCCTGCCATGCACACTGGAGACAGCAGCAATGGCCGCAGGGACTGCCCCCCCTCATGGGGGACCTGGACAGAGTCCAGGGAAGAGGGAAGTTATGGCAGGAAGCAGGGCTGCCTGGGGACCCCAAGCAACCCTCTGTCCTCTGACCAACCGCTGCAGGAGGCCCCACATAACCTGCTGCACGGCCTCGGGGAGCAGATGTGGCAGGAGAGGGGTGTGGGCACAGACGGGCTGGCCTTGAGTCGGCCTGCCATGCCTCTGTGGCTGTTCCAAGGAACCCTGTTCCCTGAACAGCAAGAGGCGTCCAAGCCACCCTGAGCAACAGCATGGGGTCCTGGGCTCAGAGGGTGACCACCTGTAGTTCCCACGTCCCTGCATGGGTGGGTGTGTTCCTCACCCACCTGCCCACCCCTGCTGCCCCAAGGGGTGTCAGCACCGGTCCCCACGTGGACCACCTCAGGCCACCACCTGCCCCTGCTGCCCCAGGGGTGTCTGCACCAGTCCCCATGTGGGCCACCTCTGGCCACATCCCATTTCTCCACCTCCACCATCAGACTCAGAAGAGCCTACATCCTCCAGAGGCCAGGAGTCATGTCTGCCTGCAGCAGGCACCGTGAGCCCGCCCCCTTCATCTTGGTTGGTGCCCCTGGGCAGCTCTGACCAACACAGCTATTGGTGTTGCTGATTTCCAAGGGACACAGCCCCTTCCGTAAGTGGCTGCTGGGCAGCCCAGGTGAAGGAACAGGGACACTGCTGTCTGCTGCCCGGGGACCCGTCAGTGCCCAGCAACCAGGTGAGCTGAGGATCACCCAGGGCCCGGCAGCCTTACCTCTCCCACAGTGCGGCCTCCCCGACAGCACCGCCCGCCAGCTGCCCCTTCATGTAGGCACGTGAGTCTTCCACGAAGGCGGCCAGCCCCAGCAGCAGGTGCTGGGCGTCCAGCATGCTGCTGCTGCTGTAGTCCACAGCTGAGGGTGAGAGGTACTGAAAGGGCAGCAGCATCCACGGGCCCAGCCTCACTCCTCCGGGAAGCCAGGCAGGGAGCCATCCCACAGGGCGACCGCAGCTCCACCCTCCCGCTTCCCGGCAACAAACCGCCATCGCCCCCACCGTGCAGGAGCGTGTGGGGTGAACCAGCAGGGGCCAGGGGATGATGGCGACAGCACGGGGGCCGACCCGGATGTGTGGGGCAGGAGGGAGCAGGGGAAGGAGACCCCGGGCATGGAGGGGCAGCGGCACGGGCAGGCCCAGCTCACCTGAGCGGTAGTGGCTTCGCACACAGAACAGCCGGAAGACATCTGGGGAGAAGGAGCGCAGGAAGTCCTGGGGAGGGCAGAGGGGGGACAGACCTGTGTCCCCAGGACCCCTCTTCCCAAGGAGCCTTGCTTGGTCCCCAGGAACCTGTCTGTCCCCTCTGCCCGCCCCAGGAGCCATGCATCCCCCAGCCTCTACTACGCCCACCTCACACAAGCAGGGTAGTATGCACCTCCACTCTGACACACTCCAAGAGACCTGTGTGCCTGCCACGAGTGCAGCTTTGGGAACCGTTCCCCACGGCCTCCTGACTCCTGGCACAGGCGGTGCCATGACTTGGGCCTCCCCCACCCAGGGTTTGGGGACAAGAGAAGAGCCGGGTGAGGTCAGAGCCACTCAGTGATGGGATCCTGTGGTTCTCAGAGGCGTGAGCACCCAATAGGCCCAGCCAGCAAGGCATGGGCGACCACAAGCCAAGGCACCCACCTGAACAGGGACACGGGCATCATAGCTACCTTAATAGTGACGTAGTTCTTTAACGATTTGGACATTTTTTCCTCTCTGCCTTTCACATGCAAGTGCCCTGAAATGAAAACAGAAGTGGTGGAATTGGGGGAGGAGGGCGTGCCCTCGGAGGCCGGGAGGGTGGGGCCAAGCCTCCTCCCAGGGCCTGGGACTAGGAAGTCCTTAGGGATCACATTCTAGAACCTGCATACCCAACCTGTAGGCCCAGGGCTGCGCCACTGGAAGCTCTGACAGGCACATGCTGACAGCTAACATGTGCACACACACAGGCGCAGCTGTGGGCTCTGTAACACACGTGTGCCCAGGCACATGCTGACAGCTAACATGTGCACACACAGGCACAGCTGTGGGCTCTGTAACACACGTGTGCCCAGGCACATGCTGACAGCTAACATGTGCACACACAGGCACAGCTGTGGGCTCTGTAACACACGTGTGCCCAGGCACATGCTGACAGCTAACATGTGCACACACACAGGCGCAGCTGTGGGCTCTGTAACACACGTGTGCCCAGGCACATGCCGACAGCTAATATGTGCACACACAGGCGCAGCTGTGGGCTCTGTAACCTGCACTGCCATGAATGCTGACACATGTGCACACACACAGTGCACTTCCTACCATAGCTCTCATACCCAGTGACACTGTGAGGTGGGCTCTGACACGAGTATGCCCATGAATGTACTTGTAACACTGCGTTACACGTGTGCACGCCACACCACTGGCTGCTCCTCCCCCGGCCTCAGCACCATGCAACCACCTCTTTATTCTCTGTCCAACAACTGCCAGTGCCACCCCCAGGGACGAGGACACAGCTGAGACCAGGTGCGTGTGTGTGTGTACAGGACGAGAGGAAGCAGGCGGGGATCCCTCCTGGACTGAGACTCGACCAGCCCCCCACTCTGCGGCCCATAACCGCCGTCCTCCACTTCCAGCACCAGGGCGCTCCTAGGCCAAACTTCCTGGAACTGGTCCTCCCGAAGAGGCACCCTCGGCTTGCCTGCTTGGTGTCACATCACACGTACCAAGCATATCAAAGCATTAACTCTACAACTGCGGCAATGTCTGGAAAGCGAGGCGGCAGCACCAGGTTCGACAGCGGACCTGCCCGACTCCCTGCAGCAACAGAAGGGACCCCTCGGCTGCCGGCTCGGATGGCACGGGAGTGCCGCCAGCTCCCTGGCACCCGTACCTACCGGAATGCAGGAAGTAACTGCCCCACTGGTTGCACTGGTGGAACACCTCGCTTTGCGCAATCTCATTCTCGTGATGCGGGAAGGCCAGGTCGACCCCACCCGTGTGGATGTCCAGCTGGCTCCCGAACACCATGCTGCGGGGACACGGGACACGGGCCGCTCAGCCGGGCACCTGAGCACACAGCGCAGGCGCAGCCCGGCCCCAGCCACCAGCACCTCGGCACATGGCGGCCCACCTCCCCTCACCGGCCTGGCCCATGGCAGGACACAATCCTCCCCTTCGTCAGCTCCCCAGGCCACAGCTTCTCACACTTGACACTAGATCCTCCGCTCCTGACACGTTAAACACGCCCGTCTCCCTTTGACTAGGTGGACTTCAGCAATTTTCCAACTAACCAGAGACCAAAACTATGAAATGATGGGAATTTTCCATTTGGCTTTTGAAATTCTAGTTCTTTAATGGCTCTATGAGGGTATTTCACAAAATTCATGGAAAATTGCACTAAAACATTCTTTGGGGATTGGCACTGAAGAACCTAGATGTTTTCTGCCTTTTGTGATTCTGCCTTAATGGCTTGGCTGGGGGCTGTGTGAACTCCAGGCTACGTGTGTGACAGTCCACGTGACACCCGGCAGGACACCTGGCAGGTCACGCAGGCAGACCACTCCTCAGGAAGGAGGTACCTGGTGTTTGATAAGATCCACCGCCCTATAGCTCATCGATTTGTACCTCTTGAAAGTTGCTTGTTTCAAACCCACCAACAGAAGCCTGCTAAGTCATGAGTGTATAACTAACAGCCTGAAATGTGTAAGAACTGGGGGGCTCTGGCTCGCTCTTCCCTCTCTTCTCTGCCCTCCCTGAGGATCCTGCAGCAGCCTCGGCTGCCCTCCCCCACCCGGCCCTGCTGGGGGAGGGGCTGGGAGACCTAGGCTAACCTGGATAAACCACCTTTATGCCTCAGCACCAACTTCAGATTGATTATCTGGGGATTTCAAAATCGGGCACAACAGCAGGTGCATGAAGCCAGAGCGTGGGATGCCCGTCCCAGCTAGAGTTCCCAGCTCCCCGCTGAGGCAGCAGTGGGGGTCCCGCCTCTGGCCGGCCACCCTCATGGGAGACCCAGCCCAAGCTCCGGCCCAGCCCCCGCCGCTGCAAGCACTGGAGGAGAAAACCAGCAGATGCAAACAGTCTCTCGCTGTGGGAGTGTGTCTCACTCTGCCTTTCAAGTAGATGGAAACAAACTGGCAGCTCAATTAAAGAGAGCTCAAGTCCTGGCACAGCTGTCTGCACACACACTTCCCCAGAGCCCTGCGCAGCCCACCTCAGCCACCAGCCTGCCGCACGAGGCTGTGCCATCAGGCTCCACAAGCTGGAGAGCCTCTGGTCCCACACCCTAGCACATATCAGCAGGGCTGGTGGGGAAACTGAGGCAGGGCTAGTGGCTTTCCCACCCCTCGGCCCCAGTGCCCCACCCATGAGGAGCCCGGCGCACATACCTGGCAACAGTGGAGCACTCAATGTGCCAGCCGGGACGGCCGCTGCCCCACGGCGAGGCCCAGCACACCTCCCGGGGCTTGGCCGCCTTCCACAGGGCGAAGTCGGCAGCATGGCGCTTGTCAGAGTCGGCTGGTAGCAACGAGAGGGGAGTCAGCAGGGAGGGGTGCCTCCTCTGCCTCCACGCCTCGCATGCACGGAGGATCTAGAACTTTCTGTCCTAGCCTGGGGGGCAGGGGTAGCAGATGCTATCAGCAGTTGGGCTCCACATGCAGTTGACAGGGCAGCGAGACGACCCCGAGCGGGCTGGATGGCTTGTCTGGGCCCCACGCCTGACACATCCGAAGGCCTCCCGTAAACACCGTTCTTCGCCAGTCAATTTCCCTGTGCTCAGGACATGGCGAAGCACTCACAGGGGACACAGGCAAGGTGGAGGAGGACCCCACGCTGCAGGTGCACACACATGCTCGCAAAGGGGCCGGGAGGTGCGGAGAGCCCAGTGCGGGAGCTGAGCCAGAAGGGGCACCCGTGCAGGAAGCCACTTCACTGGCTGCTACAAACCCGGAACTTCACAGTTCCTGGGAAACAAGGAAAAGCTGAGGTGGCACTAGGTCCGGCCATGCACGCCCATGCCGGGCTGCCTGGGTCAAGTTCCGGCCCTGCTCCCAGTGCCAGCAGCCACAGCAGAGCCTGGGAAGCAGCGGCAAGCTAGTCTGCCCTGCCAGCTTGGCCCGACCCAGCCAGGCTCCGAAGGGTCTGTGGGAGTGAACAGGGGACTGCATCTCTGTCCCTTCCTTTCTGTGACACTGTGCCTTTCAACAAACAAATCAGTCCATTCTGGTGGGAAAATCTTGCAGCCCATGCCGGTTTTCGCACAACAGTTTCTCATGAACTCTGGGGACCCTTCACACTCCAAGTTTCATCCGTTCAGAGACCCTGCGCAGTGTGTGGCCCACGTGGCCACATTCAGACGACCGGGGTCGGGTCCGGCCCACCCACCTGGCTCGGTGGCTGCAGCGGGGACCTCAGCGACGAGCACGCCATACTTGTCTCCTATGGACCGCAGGTCGAAGTAGACATTGCCTGTTTGACAAAGGGGGCCAGGACGCGCCTCTCAGCTGGGACGGCCGTGCCCACGCCCGCACGGCCTCTGCCGCAGGAGCCCAGCCCGCACGGCCTCTCCCGCAGGAGCCCCTTGCAGACTGAGGCTGCCATGTGGCCCTCATTGGTTTCTAGGCCAGGGTCAGAGACTGTAACAGTCGGGAAGCCACACAGGCTGGGCATGGCAGGAACACGCGACGCCACAGGGAAAGGATGGTGCCCAGGTCTGTGTGAAGCAGGAGGAATGTTTTTCTTTTTTGTTTAAATGCAAATGCTCCCCAACAGGTCAGGGACGAAGCCTAAACTTCTGCATTTCTTTCTTTCTTTCTTTTTTTAAGATTCATTTATTTTGGGGCCCGCACAATCGTTCAACTGACTAATCTTCCACTTCCCAGTGCTGCCATCCCACCTGGGCACCTGTTCACGCCCCGGCTGCCCCACTTCCCCTCCAGCTCCCTGCCTGTGGCCCGAGCCTGGGGACCTGCACCGCGTGGGAAACCTGGAGATGTCTAGCTTTGGGTGAACTCTGCTCCAGCCATTGCGGCAATCTGGGGGTGAACCAGCAGATGGAAGATCTCTCTGTATATCTTTTTGGTAAGTCTTAAATCTGCTTTTCCAATAAAAATAAATAAATAAACCTTTGAAAGGATCTATTTTGGACTCCGATTTAGTTATAAAAAATTTAAGATTTGCTTATTTAGTTGAAAGAACTGTATTGGCTGGTTCATTCTCCACATGGCCACAATAGCTGGAGCTGAACCAACCCAAAGTCTGGAGCCAGGGGCATCTTCCAGGTCTCCCATGTGGGTGCAGGGCCCAAGCACAGCAGGTGGCCCGAGGGTGCCACCAGGCTGCCCGGTGCGATCACTGGCTTCAACAGGGGCAATCCTACCTTGGGCCGTGGGGTAGGCGTGCCCGCGGGCCACTATCCCCTGGATGAATGCAACAATCTGAGGGATGTTTTCCGTCACCCTCAGGTACACAGTCGGCGGCAAGACCTGGGACAAGTGAACAAGTGGCCGTGTCCCTGAGGGCCCAGGTGCAGCTGGGCCCCGCTGTGCCAGTCCTCACCTTCAGGGCCGCCATGTCTTGCTTGAAATCTTCCTCGTAGAGCGTGGCCAGGGCAGCAGGTGAGATCTGCATCTGCCAGAGCACAGGAGTGGGTGGCGGGGCGACCGCAGGTCAGGGGGCGCAGCAGACATGGGTGGGGTGCTGGGGGGCCACTCTGGGTGCTAACTCACACCAGCAGCAAAGCTTGCAAAAAGGATTGCCAACCTTGTTTTCCCTTACAGAGAAAAGGGAACAAAGGCCATGCTGTTCCCACTGGGTAGCAACAAATCTTATCTTTTCTAAGACAAGGGCAAAATTCATCTAAACTTTGTAACACTAAGAAAGCCAGTTCCCAGCTCATCCATCGCCTCAAGAGAAACATTTTTAAAGGCCAGAAAGTGCATGAAATGGAAATCTCTAAGGAAAACTTTGGGGTATAACTTGCTGATTCTCTGAAAGTCAGAGTGACAGGAACAGACTGCTTCTATCCACCACGCACCCCTAAACAGCCCGACTTCCACCTGCGTCTCCCTCGGAAGCAACGGACAGAAACTCGAGCCGTCACCTGTGGCTTCCCAGACCACGTCAGGGGACCCTCCTAACTCACGTGGGAGGCCGGGCCCTACAGCCAGGCCACATCAGGGGACACAGCGTGGGCAGCCCCAAGGCCCGGTTCCTGACAGTGAGGGACACACATGACAGCCGTGGGCGGCCCAGCTCAGCCCGGAGGGACACACACGACAGCCCTGGGTGGCCCCAAGGCCCTGTTCCTGACAGGGAGGGACAGGAGGGGGCAATGCAGAGAAGTGAAGAAACATGACAGACGACCCGGCAGGACCGGGAAGCTGCTGCGTCACAGGAGGGGTTCGGGCACGGGCCCTTACTGGGCACAGTCACAGCCCACACCCCAGGACAGGGCTGCTGCTGCGTCACAGGAGGGGCACAGCCACAGCCCACACCCAGGACCGGGAAGCTGCTGCCTCACAGGATGGGAGTCGGGCACGGGCCCTCACTGGGCACAGCCACAGCCCACACCCCAGGACCGCGGTCTGCACTCTGATTTCAGCTCCTGGGAGCAGAGGTGACGGCTTCAGCACCGACACCCTGAGCGATGACCGGGCTCCCAGCAGGTCAGGATACAAGAAGTTTCCCTCTTTCTCTCTCACCCGCTTCCTGTTTTCTGCTTCTCAGATAAACAAAGCACATTTGAAACACTTTTCCAGTAAGAACACCAGCAAAGGAAGGGCACCGCATTGGAAGCCAGGTTTCTGGGCTGGAGGATCCAACATGAGCGCTGGTTCACATCCCGGCTGCTCCACTTCCCTCCAGCTCCCTGCCTGTGGCCGGGCAAGCAGTCAAGGACGGCCCAAAGCCCTGGGACCCTGCACCTGCCTGGGAGACTCGGAAGCTCCTAGCTTTGGGCTGGCGAGCTGCGCAGTGGAGGCCATGTGGGAATGACCCCACAGCAGAAGCTCTTTCTGCAATCTCCTCTGTAGATCGGCCTTTCCAATAAAAAGAAATAAAAGCATAAAAAAAAAGGGAAACCAGGTTTTTACCTCGGACGCAGAGGGCGATGCTGTGACCGATGGTGGGGCCATCACCCCTTCACACTGCCTCGCCCCTGTCCCCAGGGGCTGACCTCAACTCAGGTATTTAAAAATCTTCAGGGACCAGCATTGAGGCCCAGCAGGTCAAGCTGCCCCGGTGACGCCAGCACCCCACAGGGCACCGGCTCACATCCTGGCCGCCCCACTTCCCGCCCCGCTCCCTGCCAGCAGCTTGCAGGGAAAGCTGAACGCCCCAGTCCTTCCCCGCGCCTGCATGGGAGACACAGCTTTCGGCCTCTGCTCCGCCCTGGTCCAGCCCTGGCTGCTGCGGTCACCTGGGAGGGAACAGCACGGAAGAGCGCTCTCTCTGACTTTCAAATACACAGACATGAGGGGTAAGTGAGATGAAGCACCCAAGTCACACGTTAGAACAACACGGACCCTGCCAACGTGCAGTGGAGGCTCAGGATCCGGCTCCCTCAGCACGCAGCGGTCGGTGAGAGCAGCCTGTGGGCCAGGGGAGACAGGTGGGGCGAGGGGTGCCGCTGGGGCGCAGCCTCCAGTAGTCGGGCTTACCTCGCTGGCTCTCGCGATGATTTTGTCATCCACATCCGTGATGCCCATCGCCATGACGATGTTGCAGCCGAACACCGTGGTGAGGAGCCTCCGGATGACATCGAAGCGCACGTAGGAGCTGAGAGGGAGGGGACGGAAGGCGTGGGGGTCTTCAAAGGTCGCTCTCCCAGAGGCAGGCCTTGCCACTTGGGCCTGCTCCTCCAGACTGAGCTGGCTGGCTGGCTTCCTACAGACTTCAGCCTGAGGCTCTCAGGCCAAGGGGAGAGCTGCCGCGTGAGTCAGAGCTCTGGAAACCCTGTTCCTGTCTAAGAGTGTAACTTGTCACTGATGAATGCGCAGGCTGGCACGGCCGTCTTTCCCGAGCTGTGTCGGGGCAGCCCCAGGATCCACACCACGCCGCTGCCATGAGCACGGTGGCACCCATGCAGCCGGCATCCCACGTGGGCACTGCTTTGAGTCCCAGCTGCTCCGTTTCCTACCCAGCTCCCTGCTCATGTGCCTTGGGAAAGCAGCAGAGAATGGCCCAAGTGCTTGGGGCCCCTGCCAACCTCACAGGAGAGCCAACTGAAATGCCAGGCTCCTGACTTCAGCTTGGTCCAGCCTGGACCGTGCAGCCATCGAGGGAGTGACCCAGCAGAGCCCAGAGCTCTCTAGCTCCGCCTTTCAAAGAAAAAAAAATCTTTAAAAATGGCCCAACTGTGAATGAGTTTAGGTCACCTGAACCCTGTGCCTGGTTCCAGTCCCCAGGTGAGGCAGAAAGTGGCTGCAGGGCCAGCTTGAGCTGGTCAGTCCCTGTACCCACTGGGCACACCTGGGCTGTGCTTCCAGCTCCTGCGTTATGCTCAGCCCCAGCCCCAGCCGCTGTGGGCATGGGGGGTTCTGAGCTCAGCCCCAGCCTATGTGGGCATGAGGGGTTCTCAGCGCCAGCCTCTGTGGGCATGGGGGGTTCTCAGCGCCAGCCTCTGTGGGCATGGGGGGCTCTGAGCTCAGCCCCAGCCTATGTGGGCATGAGGGGTTCTCAGCGCCAGCCTCTGTGGGCATGGGGGGTTCTCAGCACCAGCCTCTGTGGGCATGGGGGGCTCTGAGCTCAGCCCCAGCTGCTGTGGGCATGGGGGGTTCTCAGCGCCAGCCTCTGTGGGCATGGGGGGTTCTCAGCCCCAGCCGCTGTGGGCATGGGGGGTTCTGAGCTCAGCCCCAGCCTCTGTGGGCATGGGGGGTTCTCAGCGCCAGCCTCTGTGGGCATGGGGGGCTCTGAGCTCAGCCCCAGCCGCTGTGGGCATGGGGGGTTCTGAGCTCAGCCCCAGCTGCTGTGGGCATGGGGGGTTCTCAGCGCCAGCCTCTGTGGGCATGGGGGGTTCTCAGCCCCAGCCGCTGTGGGCATGGGGGGTTCTGAGCTCAGCCCCAGCTGCTGTGGGCATGGGGGGTTCTCAGCCCCAGCCGCTGTGGGCATGGGGGGTTCTCAGCCCCAGCCGCTGTGGGCATGGGGGAGGAGGTAAACCAGTAGACACGATTGTTCTTTTTAGGCTCTTCTCTCTCTTAATAAATTAATTTAAAAAAAAACATTAAGGTCCCTGAAAAATCTTTTCCAAGATGTTTAACCATTTAAGCAGGGCTTTTTCTTTCTTTCTTTTTTCCTGCCAGGGTCACTTGGATGTTAACATCATTTTGGAATACTACAAAAAGATCTACTTAAAAGTCAGCTGGCTGCCCACTTACCCCTGAGGTGCCCCCTCCTTGTGGCCTTGGGAAAGCCGGGCAGGACAAGAACACCAACCAGGGACTGCGGCTGGCACCAGGTCTCGGGGCTCTCCCCACACCCACCAGAACCTACTCAGCTCGGGGGCGGTTTCCACTGCGACTCCGGATGCCAGCGTGCCCTCCCCAAGGCCGGGGGTTCACCCTGGTCCCCCGGGGGTGGTATCAGCAGGCGGGCCTTCCTAGAGGCCCTGACCCCTCCCACGGCTGGGACTCCCAGCCAGAAGCCACCCAGCCCACTGGGAGCCGGCCAGCCAGGGCTCCCTGCCCACACCGAGGGACATCACTTGGGACCCACGACACCCACGGAGGCTCGTGCTTTCCCAAACTAGCCAGCCCATTGGAAGGCAGGACACTCACCACGCATGGCCGAGGTGCGCGTGGTCGTACACGGTGGGTCCGCAGCTGTACCTGGGACGCAAGGCGCACCTGTGAGAAGGGCTCCACGTCTCCGGGAGCGAGCGCCCCCATCGAGGCGCTCTCGCAGTGACCACGGCCGGCGGAGACCCCGGGGACCCCCGGCCGCGCCCCGACCCACCAGGAGGTGGAGTCCGCGCGCGCCACCACCAGCGGCTCCTTCCTTCCCGTGCGGCTGTTGTACACCTGCACTCCCGTGTCGCGGCCCGTGGGCTGCTGCCACGCGCGTCCGCGCCCGCCGCTCGCCGCCCGCGCGGACGGACAGACGCCCGGGACGGCCCGCAGCAGCCGCGCCAGGCCTCGCGCACCGGGCCGCGCCATGTCGGCGCCCGCAGGACGCCACAGGCCGCGGAGGGCGGACACCGCCGCGAGACACGCCTCCTCCACTGCCCGCCCCCGGAAGCCCGGGAGACGCGGGCCGGGCGGCAGCGGGCGGCTGGGACGGCGGACGGACGGCGACCTCGCCGCGCTCGGGAGGCCGGGAACACAGCTACACCCACATCTGCACCCAGCAAAAAGGATGCACGTGGCACACAGGGTGCACATAGTACATCGGAGCCCAGCACTCAGGGTACACAGCACGTCAGCACCCAGGGTGCACAGGCCACATCAGCACCCATCACGCAGTGTGCACACACCACGTCAGCACCCAGGGTTCACACACCAAGTCCACATCTAGTACGCAGAGTGCACGCACACTGTGACTTAAAAAAAAAATGAACATTTATTTATTTGTATAGGAAAGTCAGATTCAGAGAGAAGGAAAAACAGAAAGATCTTTCATCCGCTGGTTCACTCCCCAAGGTTACAAGAGATTCGAAACCAGGAGTCAGGAGCCTCTTTCCAGTCTCCCACGCGGGTGCAGGGTTCCAAAGCTTTGGGCCATCCTCAGCTGCTTTCCCAGGCCACACGCAGGGAGCTGGATGGGAAGTGGAACAGCCAAGACAGAACCAGGGCCCACATGGGATCCTGGGCAAGCAAGGTGAGGATTTCGCTGCTAGGCTACCATGTCGGTCGCACCTTTTCATCCCTAATGGCAGCATTTCTGGGCTCAGGTCAAGGCCACGTTCTTTCCCAGGGCTCCCAGGTCAAGGGGAAGCTAGCATTTATGTTTGTAGCGAGAAATATCTTCTTGAGATTCCTTTTCAGGTTTAAAGTCTTCTTTGTCATTTTGTCTTGAGAAACCTGTTGCCATGAAAAAGTTTTTTGAGAAGCCCTCCAGCAACACTCCCCGGCACCCAGCACTCCCCGGCGCCCAGCACTGCCCAATGCCCAGCACTCCCCGGCGCCCAGCACTGCCCAATGCCCAGCACTCCCCGGCGCCCAGCACTGCCCAATGCCCAGCACTCCCCGGCGCCCAGCACTCCCCGGCGCCCAGCACTCCCAGGCGCCCAGCACTCCCAGGGCCCAGCACTCCCCGACGCCCAGCACTCCCCGGCACCCAGCACTCCCCGGCGCCCAGCACTGCCCAATGCCCAGCACTCCCAGGGCCCAGCACTCCCGGGCGCCCAGTGGCTGTGGGACCGAGCAAGATGTGGTGCAGATCTCCAGGTCAAGTCTGGTTGCAGGTTCAGTGAAGGAGGTGCCCTGGGCCTTTAGGCAGGACCACCAGTGCTGTTCTCCTGGTAGATCAAAGTTACTAGTTAACTAAACAATGGCATACAAGCTACTCTAAGAATAGATGACAAGGGACTTGGTCTCAGGCAACAGGATAAGTGAGCATTAGTTATAGGAACCCAAACCGGTGAACAAACAGATCTAACTAGAAAAGGAATCTAACTTTGCACTCAGACACGTTTAGGAAATGACTTTTAAAAAGTGATAAAAGGGCCTGGCGCAATAGTGTAGTGGTTAAGGTCCTCACCTTGAACGTGCAAGGATCCCATATGGTCGCCGGTTCTAATCCCGGCAGCCCTGCTTCCCATCCAGCTCCCTGCTTGTGGCCTGGGAGAACAGTCAAGGACAGCCCAAAGTCTTGGGACCCTGCACCTGCATGGGAGACTCAGAAGAGCTCCTGGCTCCTTGCTTCAGATTGGCTCAGTTCCAGCCATTGTGCTCACTTGGGGAGTGAACCATCGGACAGAAGATCTTCCTCTCTGTATATCCGCCTTTCCAATAAAAATAAATAAGTCTTTTTTAATTTTTTTTTAAAGATTTATTTTTATTATTTTTTCATTGGAAAGGCGGATATACAGAGAGGAAGATCTTCCGTCCGATGATTCACTCCCCAAGTGAGCGCAACGGGCCGATACTATGCCAATCCGAAGCCAGGAGCCTCTTCCGGGTCTCCCACGCGGGTGCAGGGTCCCAAAGCTTTGGGCCGTCCTGGACTGCTTTCCCAGGCCACAGGCAGGGAGCTGGAAGGGAAGCAGGGCTGCCGTGCCGGGATTAGAACCGGCGCCCATATGGGATCCCGGGGGTGCAAGGCGAGGACCTTTAACCACTTGCGCCACCGCGCCGGGCCCAATAAGTCTTTTTTTAAAAAGTGATAAAAAATGGTAGTGAAGACGCCTCACACCTCCCCAGGCACGTTGGTCAACGAGAGAGCCCGCAGCCAGCAGAAAGTACGCCCTCTGCATTCTGTCTGCCGAGGCCTGAGATCCGGGGTCCCTGGGCACCTGGCGTCTGGTTCAGGGGGCAATCTCCACAGCCTGCAAGCCTCGACAGGGCAGCCGAAGCCCGCCGACTGCAGAGCTGAGGCAGCAGGCCTGCTCAATGCAGCCCCAGGCAGAGTCCCCGTCCGGCCAGGAAAGCAGCTGGGAAGCTAGGGCGCCTCCGTGAGGACGGGCAGCATTTTCACAGACGTCATGAGGCTGCACGGCTGGTCCGTCTCTAGGCCATAGGCACTGCGAATCTTCCCTTCAAACTTTTAGCTACTTGAAACACAGAGTGATGGCAAGACACAGGAGACACAAGGTGTTCCCACTCTCAGTTCACTCCCCAGATGGCCTTGGCAGGGAAGCCGGACTCTACTCCGGCGCAGAACTGGCAGGGCGGGCACGGCTCTTTGGCTCATCCATGCTGCTTTCCCAGGGCATCAGAGGGCTGCTTGTAACATGGTAACTTGTAGCAGCCGCATCTCAGCGCCACAGGCCCACCCACTCAGTTATCTTCTGTCTGCAGCAGCCAGCCCTTGGCTGCCAGCAGTTCTTTGTGGACCGTTTCTAGGAGTCCCCAGGGGTGCTAACTGCATACTGCGGCCCAGCAGCCAGCTCTGCTCAAGTCACCAAGACCCATTAACATGACAATGAAAGATACTTCAGTGTCGCGTTGAGTTGCAGGACAACATTCTGTAAGTCCCTGGCAGAACAGAATATGGAGGCACGTGTTTAAGGCATTTCCATAAATGAAGTAGAAATTCTTTTTGCAGCAATCCTAAAAATAAAGAACTGTATTGTATATTCAGGGCTGGTGTTACGGCAACGTGCATAGAGCCACAGTCTGCCTCACTGGCGTCCCTCGTGGGCGCTGGTTTGAGTCCTGGCTGCTCTACTTCTGATGCAGCTCCCTGCTAATGTAGTTGGAAGGCAGCTGAGGATGGCCCACATTCTGGGGCCCCTGTAGCCACGTGGGCATCTTGCAGGGTGATGGGCCCAGCTCGGGCCCTGTACCCACATGGGCATCCTGCAGGGTGATGGGCCCAGGTCGGGCCCCTGTACCCACGGGGCATCCTGCAGGGTGATGGGCCCAGCTCGGGCCCTGTACCCACGTGGGCATCCTGCAGGGTGATGGGCCCAGGTCGGGCCCTTGTTTTCATCCTGCAGGGTGTACCACAGGAGGGAAGACTTTTCTCGCTCTTTTTCTGTGTCTCCCTTTCTGCAATTCAGTCTTTCAATTCATTAGTTATCTTTAAAAATACTCAATATTTCTCAAAATTAAGTGCTTTTCCCTAGTGATATATTTCCTTGGTGATGTTCCTGGGGCGGGCATTTGGCATTCCCTCCTGACTGCTGGCATGCCCTATCAGAGACCCAGTTCTAGTCCTGCTGCACCCCTTCCAACACGGCGCCTTGCTAATGCTCCTGAGAAAGCAGATGGTTCAAGTCTTTGTGGCCCTGCCACCCACTCGGGAGACCCAGATGGAGACCAGACCCTGGCTTCAACCTTGCAGCCATTTGGGTAGTGAACTATCAGATAACAGAAGTTGGCTCTGCCTCCAAAATAAACCAAATATACCCTAAAATAAAATTCATGCTCAGTTAATACGCTTTATCTATGGGGCCGGGAAGCTTGACCAATTACCAATAGGACATTTGCTGAGGCCCAGCTCCCGTGAGAAGGTTCATGGCTGTGGCTGGCCCTGGAGGCCCTTGGCAGCCCTGCTGGCGCAGCAGGAAGTTTTGGATCTGAATGGCAGGAGGCGCAATGACTGTTCAGAGGGTGGACTTCTGCTAAGGCGCCTCGGGCCACACTCGGGGCTTCCTAGGCTGAGCTTTACCTGAAAGGCAGCCATCTAGAGTGAAGGAGAAATCTTCCGGCGGCTCACTGTCCACTGTGCAGGCTGGAAGCCAGGAGCCGCCTACGGGTCTCCCACGTGGGTGCAGGGGCCCAGGTACCTGGCGCATCCATCAGATGGGAAGCGGAGCAGCTGGGACTTGAACCCCCGTCCATATGGGATGCTGGTGCCACAGAGAGGCTTAACCGACTAGGCCTGGACTTGCAGGATAAAGTGCTATCTAAGCTGGAGTCCAGATTCCAGGATTCCAAGTCCCCACTGGTCTCCCTTGCACACGAGGCGGCACCCTGTGGAACCCGCAAAGCAACCCCGTTGCACACAGACATCCCGCTGCAGGGATTCACCCAAACTCCCGTCACAGGCTCTCGGGCGGGCCAAGAGGCTGGAAGGCTGCCTGCCCAAGGACCCGCGCCCCGCGCTGCCCGTCCATTACAGGCCCATCCCGACACCCCTGACCGTGTGCCCCCATCAACACTGCATGTCCCGCAGACACCCGGCCCGGCCGCCGGCCCCTCGCTCCCCGGGGCGGGCGGACAGGGCGCCTCGGCACAGGCCGGGCGACCGTGCGACGCTCCCGACGCGGACACTGGCGGACAAAGCCGAGGACGCCGCGCCCGGTCCGCCCGGTCCGCCCCGGGGCGGGCACTGCGGCCGGAAGTGGGCGGGGCGTCGCCCGGGCAACGGGCCGCGGCTCGGAGCGCCGGGCGGGCTGGCCGGCTGCAGCCTCCTCCGGAGGCCAAGGAGAAACTCCGGGCATGCCGAGCGGGAATCCGGCCAGGCGCGTTCCCCGCGAGATGCCCGGTCCCTGCCCTTTGCCTCTGAGCAGCGGCTCCCCGAGGGCTCCGGGAACACAAAGGCCGGGCGGCGCGGAGCTGCGCAGGCGCGGGGGCCGCCGGGGATGCTGGGAAGGGTGGCAGGCCTCCCGCGGGCGCGTCCCCGAGCGGCCAGTGCGCACGCGCCGCCGCTTCCGCCCCCCCGCCCGCCCTCTTCTTCCGCCTCCCGGAGGACCGGCCGGCTCGTAGTAAAGCCGCGCTGGCCCCGCCCCACCGCGTCCTGATTGGGCGGCTGGCAGGCAGGGCGGCCGCCGGATTGGCCCAGGCGGGTGCCCGTCCGGGGGACGGGGCGGGGCTGACGGGGTGAGGGGCCGCGGTGGGCGGAGGGCGGGCGGGGGGTGCGGTCGCCGCGCGGGCCGCGCTCTCCGGCGGCGCCCCCGCTCCGCAGCACCCCGCGCGGGCCCGCTGCGGGCCGGGCCGCCGCGCCGCGGCCCCGCCGCCGACCCCCGCCGTCGCCCCCCGCCGTCCCCGCCGTCCCCGGCCCAGAGGGGCGTGCTGGCGGCGGGGGCGGGGCCGGGGCGGGGGCCGGCGCATGCGCGCTGCGCGGCGGCGCTGAATGTTTCCCAAGTGTTTGAAACTGGGATTTGGGTTTTCCACGTTGGAGCGGCGCGGCCCGGCGGCGGGCGGCGAGCGTGCCCCTGGCCGCTGTCTGGGTCGGGGGCGGACCTCTGCACGCGCCCGCCGCCTCGCCTGCCGGGGGCCCCGCAGCCGTGCATGCTGCGGGGCTCGGGCCGAGGACGCGCCGAGCCGCCGGCGGCCCCGCGGGGTGCACCATGTTGAGTCCTGCCAACGGGGAGCAGACGCACCTGGCCAGCTATGTGGAGGACTACCTGGACTCCATCGAGTCCCTGCCTTTCGACCTGCAGAGGAACGTCTCGCTGATGCGGGAGATCGACGCCAAATACCAAGGTGGGCGCGGGCGCGGCCGGGAACAAAAGGGCCGGCTCCCCGGAGGAGGAAGCCGCGGCCGCGACCGGAGCGCCCTTTGTTGGGGTGGCCGTGGGGGCGGGGGCGGCAGAGGGCTCCCCGAGTGTCTGTTACATAAAGTGCGGGGCCCGGGGCGCAGCGTGCGCGGCCGAGGCCTCCCGGACCTGGCTTTCCGCACACCCGTCCGCCCCGAGCGTCCGGAGCGTCCGATGGCTCCCGGCCGCCGTGCACGGTCGGCCAAACTTTCCTGCGCGCTCGGGCCGAGTCGAGTCTAGAACTCGAGTCTGGAGCGTGCCGCGGCTCGGCCGGTGTACTCTTGTTTACAGGGCTGCGCAGCGGGCGGACGGAAGCGTTGGGGGTGGGGGGCGGAAGGCGGCAGGCGCACGGGAGGCACAGGCCCCGCGCGGCCCCGCACAGGCTGGCGAGCCGCGCCACCAAGGCGCCCTGCGCGCTCTGCCCGGACGCCGCTGCGCAGCGGCTCTTATAGCACGGTCATTAGCATATTGCGGAACGTTCTGCCCCGGTCGCGTGCTGATTGGCCGTGACGTCCTCCGTGGAATGTCCTTATCGGGGCGCTGCGGCGCGGTTGGTTGCGGGCCCGGATGGGGGCGTAGCTGGCGCGGAGATTGGCGTGGGTCTGTGTTTCCGCTGCCTGTTTTTTTTCCCTCTCTTTAGGAGAGGGGCGGGGTGGAACCAGGGGGTCGACTTGATTTGAATGTGTTCGGGTCGGCCGGACTCTGGTCCCCGATTGGCCCTGGTCGCGGCCTGGGGCGGGCCTCGCTTTCGACTCTGCATTGTGATTGGTTCCCCCCTGGACCCGCCCCTGAACCCGAAGATCCTACAGGCGGAAGCTCGCGAGGCGGGGCGTCCCAGTTCCCTCTCTATTGGCGGGAGGCCTGTCACCGTGTGGCCCCTTTCCCACCCGCGGGACTGGGCCACTTCCGGCCGGCTGGATGGCGGCGCCCTCGTCGGGTGGTCGTGCTGGCGCTGGCCTCGGGGCCACGGTGACCCGGAGACGGGCTTGGAGGGGGCCCGGGCCGCCCGTGTGCGCCCTGGGGACCGCGGGGTCCCGGGGCATCCACCCCGAGGCTGTGCGCGCACGTCTGGGCCTTGGAGAGAAAAGATGTTTGAAGGAAGGGATCTTCCATGAGCAAGGTGGCTCACTCCCAGGTGGCCGCCACCGCTGGGCCAGGCCGGCTCTCCGACACAGGCGTGGGATCCCAAGCCACGCGGCCGCCCTCAGCTGCCCTCCCAGGACACCAACAGGAGCTGGGGGGGAAGTGCAGCTGCCGGGATTCGAACCAGCCTCCATAGGGGATGCCGGCGCGGGGGGCAACTTGAACCCTGGCCATGACAACCCACAGCACGGTGTGAAGGGCATCTCGGGTTGCTTCATCGCTCCTATGGTATGCTTTAACTGAAAATACCAGTCCTGGGGGCGTCAGCTCATGCAAAGCTAACACACATCTTCAACACAGGAACAGGCAGCTTGGATTGGGCTGCGTCTTCATGCAGTCCCGTGATGGCGACAGAAACTGAGACAGGCCTGTGGGACTGGGAGGGTGTGTCCGGTGGGAAGGCCTCCTCGGAGGCCGGGGCGGTGCTTGCTGACTGAGGGAGGGAGGACTGCGCTGTGCTTGCTGACTGAGGGAGGACTGTGCTTGCTGACTGAGGGAGGACTGCGCTTGCTGACTAAGGGAGGACTGTGCTTGCTGACTGAGGGAGGACTGTGCTTGCTGACTGAGGGAGGACTGTGCTTGCTGACTGTGGGAGGACTGTGCTTGCTGACTGAGGGAGGAGCACTGCGCTGTGCTTGCTGACTGAGGGAGCACTGCGCTGTGCTTGCTGACTGAGGGAGCACTGTGCTTGCTGACTGAGGGAGGACTGTGCTTGCTGACTGAGGGAGAAGCACTGCGCTGTGCTTGCTGACTGAGGGAGCACTGTGCTTGCTGACTGAGGGAGCACTGTGCTTGCTGACTGAGGGAGGACTGTGCTTGCTGACTGAGGGAGGAGCACTGCGCTGTGCTTGCTGACTGAGGGAGGACTGTGCTTGCTGACTGTGGGAGGACTGTGTTTGCTGACTGTGGGAGCACTGCGCTGCGCTTGCTGACTGAGGGAGGACTGTGCTTGCTGACTGAGGGAGAAGCACTGCGCTGTGCTTGCTGACTGAGGGAGGAGCACTGTGCTTGCTGACTGAGGGAGCACTGTGCTTGCTGACTGAGGGAGGACTGTGCTTGCTGACTGAGGGAGGAGCACTGCGCTGTGCTTGCTGACTGAGGGAGGAGCACTGCTTGCTGACTGAGGGAGCACTGTGCTTGCTGACTGAGGGAGCACTGTGCTTGCTGACTGAGGGAGGAGCACTGCTTGCTGACTGAGGGAGGACTGCGCTTGCTGACTGTGGGAGGACTGTGCTTGCTGACTGTGGGAGCACTGCGCTGCGCTTGCTGACTGAGGGAGGAGCACTGCGCTTGCTGACTGTGGGAGGACTGTGCTTGCTGACTGAGGGAGCACTGCGCTGCGCTTGCTGACTGAGGGAGCACTGTGCTTGTGACTGTGGGAGGACTGTGCTTGATGACTGGGAGCACTGCGCTGCGCTTGCTGACTGAGGGAGGACTGTGCTTGATGACTGAGGGAGGACTGTGCTTGCTGACTGAGGGAGCACTGTGCTTGCTGACTGAGGGAGCACTGCGCTGCGCTTGCTGACTGAGGGAGGACTGTGCTTGCTGACTGAGGGAGCACTGTGCTTGCTGACTGAGGGAGGACTGTGCTTGCTGACTGAGGGAGGAGCACTGTGCTTGCTGACTGAGGGAGGACTGTGCTTGCTGACTGAGGGAGCACTGTGCTTGCTGACTGAGGGAGGACTGTGCTTGCTGACTGTGGGAGGACTGTGCTTGCTGACTGAGGGAGGACTGGGCTGTGCTTGCTGACTGTGGGAGGACTGTGCTTGCTGACTGTGGGAGCACTGCGCTGCGCTTGCTGACTGAGGGAGGACTGCGCTTGCTGACTGTGGGAGGACTGTGCTTGATGACTGGGAGCACTGCGCTGCGCTTGCTGACTGAGGGAGGACTGGGCTGTGCTTGCTGACTGAGGGAGGACTGTGCTTGCTGACTGAGGGAGCACTGCGCTGCGCTTGCTGACTGAGGGAGGACTGGGCTGTGCTTGCTGACTGAGGGAGGACTGTGCTTGCTGACTGAGGGAGCACTGTGCTTGCTGACTGAGGGAGCACTGTGCTTGCTGACTGAGGGAGGACTGTGCTTGCTGACTGAGGGAGGACTGGGCTGTGCTTGCTGACTGAGGGAGGACTGCGCTTGCTGACTGTGGGAGGACTGTGCTTGCTGACTGTGGGAGCACTGCGCTGCGCTTGCTGACTGTGGGAGGACTGTGCTTGATGACTGGGAGCACTGCGCTGCGCTTGCTGACTGAGGGAGCACTGCGCTGTGCTTGCTGACTGAGGGAGGACTGTGCTTGATGACTGGGAGCACTGTGCTTGCTGACTGAGGGAGGACTGGGCTGTGCTTGCTGACTGAGGGAGGACTGTGCTTGCTGACTGAGGGAGCACTGTGCTTGCTGACTGACTGAGGGAGGACTGTGCTTGCTGACTGAGGGAGGACTGTGCTTGCTGACTGTGGGAGGACTGTGCTTGCTGACTGTGGGAGCACTGCGCTGCGCTTGCTGACTGTGGGAGGACTGTGCTTGATGACTGGGAGCACTGCGCTGCGCTTGCTGACTGAGGGAGGACTGTGCTTGCTGACTGAGGGAGCACTGTGCTTGTGACTGTGGGAGGACTGTGCTTGCTGACTGAGGGAGGACTGCGCTTGCTGACTGAGGGAGGACTGTGCTTGCTGACTGAGGGAGGACTGTGCTTGCTGACTGAGGGAGGACTGTGCTTGCTGACTGAGGGAGGACTGCGCTTGCTGACTGTGGGAGGACTGTGCTTGCTGACTGAGGGAGGACTGTGCTTGCTGACTGAGGGAGGAGGACTCCTTGGGATGCTGTGTAGGTAGCAGAACCCTTTGCTGCCAGTGTTATGAAGGATGGTTGTGCCTTCCCTGGGGCAGGCCTCTGTCTCATGGAAAAGGGTACTGCACGCCCCTATGTTAGCAGAGCAGTAATTTCTCAGCTGCTAATTTTTTTTAGAAGCATTACTACTCAATTTAACCAAATGATACTACTGGTAACTTATAATCTGCTTGGGAATAAGTGATTAAAAACTCAACATGTGGGCCTGGCACGATAGTCTAGTGGCTAAAGTCCCGCCTTGCCTGGATCCCATATGGGCGAAGGTTGGAGTCCTGGCTACTCCTCGCACCCAGCTCCCTGCTTGTGGCCTGGGAAAGCAGTCGATGACGGCCCAGAGGCCGGGACCTGCACCCCAGTGGGAGACTCGGAAAAGACTCCTGGCTTCAGATCTGCTCCATTGCAGCCACTGTGGCTGCTTGGGGAGTGAATCATCTTCTCTGTCTCTCCTCCTTGCTGCGTTTGTGACTTTCTAATAAAAATAAAATATGTTCCCAGAAATGCCCGGTGGGTTCTTTCCTCAGCGTCGTGTAGAAATAAAAAGCCGGGAATCTGTTGCAAACAGGAAAGTTTATATGTGAAGGGACCAGGTGAGCAGGGAGGGAGGGAAGCGGAAGCACCTCCCGAGAGAGAGCCAGGAGGTGGGGGGCCTCTCGAACAGGAGAGAGACACCAAAGGGCCTTTGGAAGGTTCTCAGGAATTTAAGCATTCCTGACCCCTCCTTGTTGGGCGGGAGCCTACAGCTGAGATGTTCCCCATTGGTGGTCTCTTAATTAGTTAAGAAATGGGTGGGCAGTGCTGGTGCCGCCCACCTGAAGGTGTGGCCAAGACCTCAGAAGACCTGGATGGTCTCAAAAATAACTTTTTTTAAAGATTTACTTATTTTTATTACAAAGTCAGATATACAGAGAGGAGGAGAGACAGAAAGGAAGATCCTCCCCATCCGATGATTCACTCCCCAAGTAAGCGCAACGGGCCAGTGCTGTGCCGATCCAGAGTCAGGAGCCAGGAACCTCTTTCTGGGTCTCCCACACGGGTGCAGGGTCCCAAGGCTTTGGGCCGTCCTCGACTGCTTTCCCGGGCCACAAGAAGGAAGCTGGATGGGAAGTGGAGCTGCCGGGATTAGAACCGGCGCCCATATGGGATCCCGGCACGTTCAAGGCGAAGACTTTAGCCACTAGGCTACCACGTTGCTGGGCCCTCAAAAATAACTCTTAAAAATAATCCCAGCGCGTATGATGGATACTGGGTAAGGAATGTTCAAGGTTAAGACTGTGGTACTGTGCTTTGGTGCCTCTGTTTTCTCCCCACAGGAAGTATTCAGATCTGTCCCTGGGTGAGACTGTAGGTTAGAAATAGTAGGTCCCGTTGGTGCGGGCTTTGGTTCAAATGTTCCCTGTTAGCTTTGTGTCCCACGAGGCTTTGGACAGGAGCCCTGGAAACCTTATCTGAGGAGCAAGATTTATTTATTGTTACTGGAAAGGCAGATCAGATTTACAGAGAGGAGGGACAGAAAGATCCTCCATCCGCTGGTTCACTCACTGCTCAAATGTCACAGTGGCTGGAGCTGCGCTGATCTGAAGCCAGGAGTCAGGAGCTTCTTCCCGGTCTCCCACACAGGTGCAGAATCCCAAGGCTTCAGTCTGTCCTTTTGCTTTCTCAGGCCAATAAGCAGGCAGCTGGGTGGGAAGTGAAGCAGCCAGGATATGAACTGGCTGATGTGCAGTATGGGACCCCCGCACTTACAACGTTAGGATTTAGCCACTGCGCCCTCAGCCTGGGTACCTGAAGGTGGCTTGCACGAAGCTGCCTGTTCAGGAGGCAGGTTTGCCAGCTGTGTTAAAGGCTTGCGTGCCTGCTTTGTTGTGCCAAGGCTGAAGTTGTACTCAGTTTTACAGAAGTGTAACAAGCAGGAGGGAACACTGCGCACACAGCTTATTCATCTCCGTCTTGGAACCCTGGAGAGCCGTTTTGTCACCTAGCGGGGCATTCGGGGTGCTGTCACTGTGTCGCCTAGTGGGGCATTCGGGGTGCTGTCACTGTCGCCTAGCGGGGCATTCGGGGTGCTGTCACTGTGTCACCTAGCGGGGCATTCGGGGTGCTGTCACTGTCGCCTAGCGGGGCATTCGGGGTGCTGTCACTGTCGCCTAGCGGGGCATTCGGGGTGCTGTCACTGTGTCACCTAGTGGGGCATTCGGGGTGCTGTCACTGTCGCCTAGTGGGGCATTCAGGGTGCTGTCACTGTGTCACCTAGTGGGGCATTCGGGGTGCTGTCACTGTGTCACCTAGCGGGGCATTCAGGGTGCTGTCACTATGTCACCTAGCGGGGCATTGGGGATGCTGTCACTGTCGCCTAGCGGGGCATTCGGGGTGCTGTCACTGTGTCGCCTAGCGGGGCATTCAGGGTGCTGTCACTGTCGCCTAGCAGGGCATTCGGGGTGCTGTCACTGTGTCACCTAGCGGGGAATTCGGGGTGCTGTCACTGTCGCCTAGTGGGGCATTCGGGGTGCTGTCAGTGTCGCCTAGCGGGGCATTCGGGGTGCTGTCACTGTCGCCTAGCGGGGCATTCGGGGTGCTGTCACTGTCTCCTAGCGGTGCATTCGGGGTGCTGTCACTGTCGCCTAGCGGGGCACTCGGGGTGCTGTCACTGTGTCACTTAGCGGGGCATTCGGGGTGCTGTCACTGTCACCTAGTGGGGCATTCGGGGTGCTGTCAGTGTCGCCTAGCGGGGCATTCGGGGTGCTGTCACTGTGTCACCTAGCGGGGCATTCGGGGTGCTGTCACTGTCACCTAGTGGGGCATTCGGGGTGCTGTCAGTGTCGCCTAGAGGGGCATTCGGGGTGCTGTCACTGTGTCACCTAGCGGGGCATTCGGGGTGCTGTCACTGTGTCACCTAGCGGGGCATTCGGGGTGCTGTCACTGTGTCACCTAGCGGGGCATTCGGGGTGCTGTCACTGTGTCACCTAGTGGGGCATTCGGGGTGCTGTCAGTGTCGCCTAGTGGGGCATTCAGGGTGCTGTCAGTGTCACCTAGCGGGGCATTCGGGATGCTGTCACTGTCGCCTAGCGGGGCATTCGGGGTGCTGTCACTGTGTCACCTAGCGGGGCATTCGGGGTGCTGTCACTGTGTCACCTAGTGGGGCATTCGGGGTGCTGTCACTGTTGCCTAGCGGGGCATTCGGGGTGCTGTCACATTGGGGAGACTAAAGGCCTTTGCATCATTGCCAACATTTGAGGTAAGAGCAGCGGAGACTGCTGTTGGTTTATGGAAACTACAGGCTGAGGCCAAGCACTGTGCTGGTCACACACAGCCCGGAAGCTTGCACGTCACCTCTGCCCAGGAAGCAGGAGCCATGCCGAAAGGGTTATGACGTTTGCACTGGGCCTTTCTGCTCTTCGTATTTGTTTTGGTTTTGATAAAACATTGATTTGGACAGACAGTGACAGAGATGGGTTGAGTTAGAGAGGAGTGATCCTAAACTCCCCACGTGGATGCAACAGCCAGGGCTGGGCCAGGCTGCAATGGGACCGGGCTCCGGGTAGTGGTGACTGGAGCCCCGGGGCCCTGCTCTGCGGCCTGGCCCCTCCAGCCGCAGGCGTAGCAGCAGGGGCTTGGAGTGCTCTGTGCGGGATGCAGTGCTGGGTGCGGAGCCTGCCCACGCAGTGCTTCCAAAACACATTTTATTTCAATGCAAAGAGACCTTGTTCACTCCCCGCCTACGACAGCCAGGATTGGGTCAGGGTGTCAGCCAGAGTCTCCCCTGTCGGTGACACAGGCCCAAGTGCTCGAGCCAAGCCCACAGCGCCCAGGGTGGGTCCGAGTCAGGGCAGCTGAGAGCCGCGCGCCGGCAGCCGCGGCAAGGCCGTCTCTGCCGCCCGGGTAACGTGTGCTGTTTTCGCTTGCAGAGGTCCTGAAGGAGCTGGATGAGCTGTACCGGAGGTTGCGCCGCGAGGCGGACGGCGTGCAGAAGCGGCGCGTGCTGCACTGCATCCAGAGGGCGCTGATCCGCAGCCAGGAGCTGGGTGATGAGAAGATACAGATCGTCAGCCAGATGGTGGAGCTGGTGGAGAACCGCACCCGGCAGGTGGACAGTCACGTGGAGCTCTTCGAGGCGCACCAGGACTTGGGGGACGCGGGTGGCAACAGTGGCAAAGGTGGCGCGGACAAGGGCAAGAGCGAGACAATCACCCCGTCCGAGAAGCCCAACAATAAGCGGTCGCGGCGGCAGCGCAACAACGAGAACCGGGAGAACGCGGCCAACCACCACGACCACGACGACCTCGGCGCGGGCACCCCCAAGGAGAAGAAGGCCAAGGCCTCCAAGAAGAAGAAGCGCTCCAAGGCCAAGGCCGAGAGGGAGGCGTCCCCTGCAGACCTCCCCATCGACCCCAACGAGCCCACCTACTGCCTGTGCGACCAGGTCTCCTACGGGGAGATGATTGGCTGCGACAACGACCAGTGCCCCATCGAGTGGTTCCACTTCTCCTGCGTGGGGCTCAGCCATAAACCCAAGGGCAAGTGGTACTGTCCCCGGTGCCGGGGCGAGAGCGAGAAGACGATGGACAAGGCGCTGGAGAAGTCCAAGAAGGAGCGGGCCTACAGCAGGTAGTGGCCCCGCGGGCGCCCAGCGCCGGGCTCCTGGGGAACCGCCGGGGAGCCAGGACAGGAGCTGGCCCTGGGGGCAGCCGTGGCACCCGTGCGGCCGCCCAGTGGGTGTGACTCAGCCCTTTGAGCTGGCGTGACTGACACTTTGGTGAGTCTGGGGGCGGGGCCGCTGTGAAGGCATCCTGACGCGTCAGTGTGCAAAGAATTTCATTCAACTACCTTATTTTAATAAAGATGATGTTGCTACTTTGTGAACAGTTGTTTAAAATTAGCAGGAACTGCTGAAAATGCAGCCTCTGGGAGTCACAGGTTTGCTCACTGCCCGTCACGTGGACCTGTGACAGTTCAGTAGCAGAGGCTGAATGGTTGGGGGTTGTTTCTTTTTTTTCTTTGAAGATTTATTCATCTTGGACAGCCAGATATACAGAGGAGGAGAGACAGAGAAGAAGATCTTTCCTCTGCTGGTTCATTCCCCAGGAGGTTGCAATAGCCAGGAGCTTCTCCTGGGTCTCCAGTGCGGGTGCAGGGTCCCTAAGCTTTGGGCTGTCCTCAACTGCTTTCCCAGGCCAAGGCAGGGAGCTGGAAGGGAAGCGGGGCTGTTGGGACTCGAACTGGCACACATAGAGTAATCCGCTGTGTACAAGGCGAGGACTTTAGCCACTAGACTACTACCCTGGGCCCAATTTAAGCATTTTTATTAAATCCAGCAAAAATGGTGTATGGTCTTGGAATTTCACATTGCAGTTTTACTGTTGTGAATACAAATGCAGCCATGCCGTGCTGTGCTGTGAGGTGTGCAGGGGCCGCCGTGCTGTGCTGTGCTGTGAGGTGTGCAGGGGCAGCCGTGCTGTGCTGTGAGGTGTGCAGGGGCTGCCGTGCTGTGCTGTGAGGTGTGCAGGGGCAGCCGTGCTGTGCTGTGCTGTGAGGTGTGCAGGGGCAGCCGTGCTGTGCTGTGAGGTGTGCAGGGGCTGCCGTGCTGTGCTGTGAGGTGTGCAGGGGCTGCTGTGCCGTGCTCTGCTGTGAGGTGTGCAGGGGCAGCCGTGCTGTGCTGTGAGGTGTGCAGGGGCTGCCGTGCCGTGCTCTGCTGTGAGGTGTGCAGGGGCAGCCGTGCTGTGCTGTGAGGTGTGCAGGGGCAGCTGTGCTGTGCTGTGAGGTGTGCAGGGGCAGCCGTGCTGTGCTGTGAGGTGTGCAGGGGCTGCCGTGCCGTGCTCTGCTGTGAGGTGTGCAGGGGCAGCCGTGCTGTGCTGTGAGGTGTGCAGGGGCAGCTGTGCTGTGCTGTGAGGTGTGCAGGGGCAGCCATGCTGTGCTGTGAGGTGTGCAGGGGCTGCCGTGCTGTGCTGTGCTGTGAGGTGTGCAGGGGCAGCCAACACTGTGGTGACAGGCACACTTCCTGCCATGTAGGTGAGACATACAGATGTGATGTCAAGAAATACATACCTTGGGCAATTGCTTTCTCTAATAGCATACTGTTTTTTTGATTTAAGCTCTAAATTCTGTCTAAAAAGTTTTTAGGCAGCAGTGTAGCCAAAGCCTTCAGCATATTTTGTATTCTTACTTAGTAGTGGAGTGGTGTTGAACCAGCTGCAAGCCCCTCAGTGTCTGAAGGGTGCATCTGTCTAGACCAGGCAGTGGCAACTGTCCTCAGGCCACACGCAGCCCGCCACCAGAGCTAAGAGTGGCCCTGCAGCTTCGGTGACTAAGGGTATACCCCTCCCCGAAGTGCACCTGTCGGGGCTGTGGCTGCAGCCCACTCACTTGGGGGAATACTGCTCGTGCCTACGCCCGCCCCCCACTCCCGGTATGGTGGTGAAGGAGGGACTGTTCGTGGCCGTGCGGTGGGTGGGGGTCTGGGCATCTGGCTGCAACGTGCTCAGGGGCTGCAGCTGCAGGCTCCCTGGTCCTGTGTGCCAACTGCCACCTGTGGGAGAGGGACTGGGGCTGTGTCAGAGCAACGCGCACTGCACGCACGCCTCTGCTTCCCCACTTGGCAGCCTCTGGGGCGCTCGCAGTGGAGCCCCACAGAGCTGGTGGTGTCAGGCTGGGTGCCAGCAGCTGCCACTCCCCACGTTACTCCGGCAGCCCCAGGCTCTGTGTGGAGCGTTAAATGGAGAAACATTCATTATTGACCAACTACAGTTCCGACTTTCTTGCATTCCAGTACCTACTTTCCGTTCAGATCCCAGAATGTGTAAGCCTCACGCGTGCTCGGGCCTCACGCGGGTTACCTAGACTCGGATGAGAGGATAAGCACTTGGCAGGATTCCAACAGCAATGTGAAAATATCCTGGGACTTCATGCTTGGTGGGCTGGGTTCTACGCCATGCACTTATTCTAAAAGGTTTTCCTCTTGCTTTAAGGAGGATTCTGTAGAATTCTCTGCTTATGCATCACTTCTGTTTTGACTAGAGCTAATAATGAAAGGTGCTGGAAGTGGTTTCTGATACTGGATTCATCCAGGCCTGGTGGAGACGGAGGGCGCGCAGACAATCCGTGCGGTGTGTTTGCCTCGTCTTTGTCCACCAGGGGCTCTCCCTTCGATAAATGGCAGAACTCCTGCTTTGCCTCGTTTTTGAAACCCCTGTCTGCAGGAAGTGCCTCTAGCGGAGGGGTCAGGTGAGGTCCCGGCCTGTGTGACTGACATCACTCAAGGTTCCAGCACGTGGCGGTTGGGTTGCTGGGTTTGCCAGTGCTGGAGGGACCCCTGAGGTCCAGTGTGTGTGTGTGTGTGTGTGTGTGCGTGCGTGCGTGCGTGTGTAGTGTCAGGAAGGCCGTGCTGGAGGGACCCCCAAGGTCCAGTGCGTGTGTGTGTGTGGGGTGTCACAAGAAGGCAAAAACTGCTTTCCCAGGCCACAAGCAGGGAGCTGGATGGGAAGCAGGGCTGCTGGAATTAGAACCAGTACCCATATGGGATCCCGGCACATTCAAGGCGAGGACTTTAGCTGCTAGGCCATTGCGCCAGGCCCGATCCCTTTTTAAGGGAGCAATATGACAGCCTGGGAAAAAATATTTATGTGATACCCAGGATCTGCGTGCTGGGCGTTCTGGCTTCTATTGTGGAGTGGAGAACTGAGCAAACGGAACCTGGAAGCCAGGTGTGTGCACACCCACGTGTGAGCACTCATGCTCACATAAAGAAAGGAAGAGGAGCAGTTTACAACCAGGATTTCCAAATAGTGTGTACAGGCACCCCCTTTCCAGGAGGTGGGCTTGCGAGTCGCCCCAGGCCCCTGGGGAGTCGCTTGTGCCCGGGCCTGCCAAGCAGGGGCTGTTTGGCTGTGTCCTGAACACCGCGTCGCAGGGAAGGCGGCCTCACCAGCAGAGGGCGCTCAGGCGAGCAGCATGGGACGCGTTCCCGCAGTGAGTGGATGAGGTGCGTGTCTGCCACCTGGCGGCTAAGACAGAAAATGACCTCAAGCGTTCAAGGAAGAGCCAGCCTCGGACTGCGCCCCTGCAGGACTGCAAGCTTGTGGCGCCAGAGCAAGGATTCGGCCGGGACACCTGGGGAGTTGCAGGGTGAGCCGAGCCAGAGGCCCACGTGCCGCCTGGAGCCAGCGAGCGAGGGAACTGTGTGGCCACCGCAGACAGACCCTACTCACGGGAGTCCCTGTGGAGGTCACCCCATTCATGCAGAGGCCTAGGCGCGCACACTCACCAGGCGGCATCTATAGGGACAGTCCACAGGTGCCTGGCTGGTATTGTTGAGGGTGTCAATGTCAGTGATATGGAATCACATGTTAAAGACTGGGGTGAGGGCCCGGTGCAGTAGCCTAGTGGCTAAAGTCCTCACCTTGCATGTCCCGGGATCCCGTATGGGTACTGGTTCTAATTCCAGCAGCCCTGCTTCCCATCCAGCTCCCTGCTTGTGGCCCGGGGAAGCAGTTGAGGATGGCCCAAAGCCTTGGGACCCTGTGCCTACATGGGAGACCCGGAAAGAAGTTTCTGGCTCCTGGCTCCAGATTGGCTCAGCTCCGGCCGTTGTGGCCACTTGAGGAGTAAAGCAGTGGCTGGACAATCTTTTTGTATCTTCTTCTTTCCAATAAAAATAAATTAATTTTAAAAACTGGAAATCTGTCATCGGGTGCTCCCGGCTCAACTCCATGTTCTCCCACGTTCTGGGGCCTGGTCACTTTATTTGCAAAATGGCGTGACCTGCCTCAGCGACACGTGCTGGGGAAGCCCCTGGCCCTGGCTCGTTGCCTTGCCTTTCTTCCTCTTGTCTGCTTTTTGGAGACCAGGCGGGTCACCAGGCTTCCTGTCCCTTAGTTCATGGTGAACAGGGCAACTGCACAGCAAACCTCAGTACCCGTGCCCACCCAGGATGGCACACCCCGCTGCCTGTGCCCGCCGTGCACACACGCCAAACCCCACCCAGCCGCCATACACGGCTCGTCCAGGAAGCCACAGCGCGCACACTCCTGCACCAAGCCGGCAGCAGAGCGCCAGTGGCGCCCCAGCCCTCGCAGGAGCCCTGAGGTGGCCGGCTTCATTAACTTCAGGGCCTCCCAGTCCCGGCTGTGTTAGCCATGGCCGCAGAGGGTCGTGCTGACATGCAGCCCTCGCCGGAGCCTTGACCATGACTCTGGGCAGAAGCCAGGGGGCTGCCCACACAGCCTCAGGCTGCAGTGGGGCCCCATGGAGAACAGGGCCTGAGCCAAAGCTGCGGGGAGCCCCAAAACATGGAAGTCTCTGCCAACATGGGCTCAGATGTTTCCCAGCCACCTCCAGGGAAGGCGCTGGTGGGTGTGGAGAGCGGCAGGAAGGGCCTGCAGCCCTGGACGACGGGGCAGGAGGCTTACCTGTGCCCAGGCACACAGGTTGACGGAGCGGGGCAGCCTAGAGGACCCAGGTGGGCACCGGCCCGTCACCGGCTGCTGCAGAGCTGGAACTGCCACCTTCCCACGCTGACTTCCGAAGTCACCACCTGCCTCCCACACATGTCCCCATGCCACTGCCTCCTCTTCAGAGGTGTGCCCCAGGGCAGCTTGGCAGTGCTTGCAGAAGGCCACGCCCTGCAGGTTTACGGAGGGTAGCCAGGGGTTGGTGTTGGCACGGCGAGCCAAGGCCCTGCCCATGACCCACATCCCGTATGACATGCTGCCTGCTAATGTGCGGTGGAATGCAGCCACAGGTGGCCTGGGTACCTGAGCCCCTGCCACCAGAGCGAGACCTGGACGGAGCTCCTGTGCCCTGCTGTTCGGCTGGATTCTGCATCAATGTGTGTAGACTAGTGCATGACACCTCCCCCCGCCGTCTATACTGCGTCACTGGCCCTGCCCCGTCCGACGGTGCCCCCGCCTGTGTCTGGGCACAGGCACTGCCCAGCTGCAGGTGTGGACGGAAGGTGTTAGCTTTGTGCGTGTTGTTGATCACTGGTGAACTTAAGGTTTGTTGCAGGTGTAAGGGCTATTTTGTTTCCTTGTCTGTGAACTGTCCTTTTTATTTTTTTTTTATTTTTAAAATTTTTTTTTTTTTTTTTATTGGAAAGGCGGATATACAGAGAGGAGAGACAGAGAGGAAGATCTTCCGTCCGATGATTCACTCCCCAAATGAGCGCAACGGCTGATGCTATGCCGATCCGAAGCCAGGAGCCTCTTCCGGGTCTCCCACGCGGGTGCAGGGTCCCAAAGCCTTAGGCCGTCCTCGACTGCTTTCCCGGGCCACAGGCAGGGAGCTGGAAGGGAAGCGGGGCTGCCGGGATTAGAACCGGTGCCCATACAGGATCCCTGGGCGTGCAAGGCAAGGACCTTAACCACTGCGCCATCGCGCCGGGCCTGAACTGTCCTTTTTAAAAGCATTTCCCCCGTAGTAGCTATTCTTTTGTCGGCCTGTGTGAATGATTTCCAGGTGTGAACCTTGCGCGGTCTGTCTGTTCCAGCGTCTTGTCCTTCGGTGAACAGATGTTCACGTTACTTAGCTCAGCCTCACGACTGCGTGTCTGTAAGTACATGTGTGTATTGCATATGCGCGGTCATGTGTGTGTACGTGTGCGTACATGTGTGTCGGGGTCCATCTCAGAACAGAGGCAGGCTTGATGTCATCTTGGCGTTTTCACACATTGAACTTTTGGATCCACCTGGAGCGGACGTCTCGGACTCAGATGTTGTCCTGAGACCACGCCTCGGTTCCGTTGCTTCCTTCCTGGGACTGGAGTAGGTGCACCCGCTCTCCATGAAGCTGTGGTCACGGGGACACCTGAACCCACCTTCACAGCCACGGCCCCGCTGCACCAGGCGGCTGGGCTAGTGCTGGGTCCTCCGCTCTTCCCATACCACCGCGAGCATCCTGGCCTTGTCCAAGGCCATGGGACAGCCTGCGCGCACCCTCAGTGAGCTGCGGGGTGCTGCTACTTGATCAGGATTTCTACAAAATGGCCATCTCACCCAGAGAACAGCTTCCCTAGCTGGCCATGGGCTCGGCCTGGCAACATGGCGGCGTCTTCATCTCTGTGCTGTCATGTCTGAGGTGTGCAATTACATCCATGTGAGCGTGTCCGTGCACACCCACACCCCCTCACGGCCCACTCCACAGGACTCCTCATCCGGCCTCGGGGCAGGCAGGGCCTGGCTGCAGTGGGCACGGTGGAGGGGGCCCAGGGACGGACCTCCTGAGGCTGCCGCCTGTTCGGCTGTGCTTTCCCTGCTGGGAGGCCGAGGAGGGCCGTAGGATAAACACCTCTGTATCGAGCAGTCACAACCCTTTGGACAACCGTCACGTGAAATCCGGGTGTCGAGCACACGCTGTGGCCCAAGGGCTTGTGCAGCAGGGAGGGCTGCAGGTGCCACTCAGATCAGAGCAGACCCCAGGCTGGCCATGCCATCCGTTGGCAGGACTCCCGAGCTTTCCACTAACATCACCCTGTCTGGGCCGGGGCAGGTAGGCAGGCGATATAGAGGCCATTGCCGCCCACTTGGACTGGAAGAGGCTCTGCCAGGTATGTGAGGGGTTCGGAGCAGCCAGGGGCTGGCTCAGCGTGGCTCTCCTTGACCAGGTATCGTGTCTCCTGCAGACATGGGCTTTTGTTCCATGCTGTGTTGACATGCACCACTGCCTGGGCAGGAGATGCTACAGAGCACGTGTCACCAAGAGGCACCTTTGGCTTAGGCTCGGGTGGAGTAGCCTGGAGTGCTGGGCGGGAGACATCCCCCCTCCCTACCTTGTGCCTGCAGATCTGTCCATGGCACAGGAGTGAGCAGCAGCGTGAGCCCACTGCAAGGACCCCTGGCATCTGCCCCTTCTGTCTCTCCCTGCCCCCCGCCGGGGACCTGCCCCTGGGCATGGGAGCCATGACTGCGGCAGGGCTGAGGGGACAGACCATGGTCCAGGGCCAGCAGGTGGGAACACAGGCTCTGTCTCCTGTGATTATTGAGGCGGGGGGCACAGAAGTGCCAGGCACACGGTGGTCTGATCTGCTGATGGTGCCCGTGCTGTGGAATGGGATGGGCAGCGTTCTCTTCAGCCCCTCAGCCATGGCAGCCAGGTGCTGAGTGCTCCTCAGTGCCCGCACAATGACATGAGATGTGCCACACCGCCACAGAAGCTCCCGGTGAGTGGGGATGGAGAGGAGCCAGCTCCATGGACTCCCGTGAGTGGGCAGGCTGCGCTGCAGATCACTGAGCGTGGGATGGGGCCGAGGGAGCCCCTCCTTGCTGCTGGGGTGTCCACTCACTCCGTGTAAGTTGGTGCCCATATGCTGAGCCCTGCCTCGTCATGAGCCTGTGGGTTCCCACGCGGGGACATGCAGCCTGGAGCTCCCTCTGCAGGGGCACCTGATGCTTCTTGTGATGACTGGCCACGTCTGCCGCAGGCCTTGGCCCCACTGGGTGTCAGCTTTGTGCCGCCTGTAATGGGGCGCAGCCACTGACGCCTTGCACCACTTGTCAGGGTGACAGGACACGATTCCACACTCTGCCCTTGCTCGGGGGCTCCGCGTGCCTGGCCCCTCCTGCCACCTAGTGCACTATATCAGGGCAACTACAGGAGAACTGGGCGGCTCCTGGAGTGTGGTGGGAGCTGCTGTCACCAAGCTCAGCCTTCTTCAACTCCACACTCGCATCCGTGTGATGCGCCGCCCTCCCTGTGCCGCCAAGTGACCCTGCGGAGCTCCTGGGCAGTGTGCTGCTTGAAGCCTTGTGGTCCCCTGGGCCGATGTGGTGGGCTGGCACGCAGCCCCCGAGCTGAGCACATCCACAGCTCTGCAGGTGGGGGAGCACCCCAGCTCCCTTCCCCCACCCCGAAACACGCACGGACAGATATAAACAGACACTCGCAGGGTCCAGATGACACGCAGAGCTGAGGAGCAGCCCGGTGGGTTTTTATTTGTAAAGGACAGTGGTTTGTTTACATGAGATTGCTCTGTGCTGATTTTTATTACAAAAACCAGAAAAGTAAGAATGCAGCACAATATTCGCACAGTGTGTCACTAAACAGTGAATTTCTATAAAACCATAAAACTCAATGCAAGTTTGTCAAGAGCCCAAACTCTCCCTGGTGGTTGGACAGACAGTGGTGTGTATGTGGAACAGTCACACGGAGTGACCTGGCAGTTCCCAGCAAGGCGCCGGAGCCTGGAGCCCTAGGCGGAGGTGGAGTCAGAAGGCTGCCACCAGGGATCCCTTCCATCCCGGCCCAGCGGGCGCGTGGCCACAGCCCTGCCTCCCTCCCGTCGAGCGCAGGGGCGGCAGCGAATTGACGGCGAGTTGCACTTGCATAGGGGACCTGCTGCTCTGCCCCCCGGGGCCTCTGCCAGGACCCGCCAACTTGAGCAAGGGAGAGACGACCAGTCCAAAAGGAACCAGTGAAAACGGCTGCCACTGCGCAGCGCAGGCCGGAGCCCTGTGGAATCTGCATTTACTTCTGTGAGGGCAGAGGACGCGGGAGCAGCTGAGCCCCTAGGAGCCGTGGTAGAGGTGCATGGTGCCCAGGACGGCACTGTCATAGCGCTGCTCCACCTTCACAGAGCTCGAGTGCTCCAGCAGGCTGCTGAGCTCCGGCAGGCTCTCGGCTGTGTCCCCAAAGCCGTGGTAGTGTCCGTACTGCAGGCTCTCCCCGAGCTCCTCGGCCCACGACGGCCGACTGGCCACGCAGCTGCTGGGGCTGCCATTGAGGTGCAGGGACCCGCAGAGCTCAGGGCCGCCAGCGCCCACCGTCTTCTCGGGCTCCTCAGTCGCACCGGTGCACAGGGCGCCCTGCCTGCCGGGCGGTGGCCGGCCTGGGGTCAGGCACGCGTCACTCCTTTCCAGGCCACCGAGCTGGGCTGCGCAGGTGAAGTCCAAGTGTCCGTTGATGACACCGCCATCAGCCAACACACTCGACACGGAGCTACTGGTTTCCCCATCTGCATCAAGAAATACAGCTGTCACCACAACTCAGAAACGGGGCGGCCAACGTTAGAGTCCATTGTTCTCTTCCACACAGACCGGGGGAGCCAGCACAAATGTGCACGGGCAGACTGGCAAACGCGCGCGAGATGGGAACAGTGGGCGTGCTGCAGAGTCAGGGCGGCCGCCCGAACACCGAGCGGGAGGCGCTGGCAGGAGCACCGGGCGGCGGCCACTCATGACTTCAACACCACACAGCGCAGAGCTCGAGTTCCCACGGGAAACCACGAGGGTGGGCACGGCAGGTGCCGTTGGCTCTTCACGGCGGGGGCGGTGCGGCCCGATGGGGAAGGGAGGCGCGTCCTCTCAGTTACGCTCAAGCACCCCGGACCCCGAGATGTGCGGCCCAGCTGGTGGAGTCGTGTACAATGCTGGCCATGTCATTGAAGTCCAGCAAACAGGTGCTACTGGCTGACTCAGAAACCACGCATGCTGAGGGCACGAGGCAGCTGGCCTCGCCGGTAGACAGCCGGGGTGCCAGGCACGGACGCTCCCAGGCCCCTGGAAACACCCATTCGGCACTGCTGACGCCCACCTGGAGTCCTACAGCGGCTGGCTTCTTGGCTCCAGGCACTGGCCCCACTCCCGCCACCCACTAGGACCTGCAGGAGCCAGGGTCACCACTGAGCAGCATGGCCTGAGGGCAGCATGTGACCCCCAGGCAGTCTCGGCACACGGTGGGACCAGTCAGGCCTTCTCGCGATGCCGCTGCAGGCATCCACAGGGGGCTAGGCGAGCTGGGAGTGGCACGTGGCCACCCTATGCTTCTCCATACTGCAGCGAGGCCTGGAGCCAGCGCGTGCAGAGGACACAGGGATGGCCTCGTGGTCCGGCAGGCAGCAGGGAACTCGGTCGTACCCCTCCTGGCACCCACCCCAAAGAGTCAGGGCCAGCCTCCCTGGGTGGCACCTACAGCACAGAGCCCGGGCATCAGCAGGCCAGCCGAGGGCATCTCCAGGGAGGAGCAGGAAGGGGCCTGCTCAGAAAGTGCTTCTTTACAAGGGAGCCGACACGCCTGACCTAAACGCGCCGAGCAGCTCAGCTTCCGCCTTTCAGAATCTGGAAACCTGGCTGCACCCTGTGTCCTGCCTGCGGGTCCCAGCGTGCACTGATGGCGCTTAGCAAACTCCACAGAGAACTGTGTGTTCACCCCAAGGTTTAACGCCAGAAAAAAACAACAACAACAAGACGCAAACCTCGTGTGAACGCCAAGGCACAGGGAGCAGAGCCCCCGAGCCGGAGGAGCTGTCGCCCGACGGAGCACGCAGCCCCGCCCGTCAGAAGTAACAGGCATACTGGCTGCGGCAGCGGCAGGGCGTCTGCATGGCCGACACCGTGTAAATCTCCATCTCCTTGGGCGCCACCGAGCCACTCTCCCGCAGCTCGGCCCCGGCAGGAACCTCTGCACCCCCACCTGTCAGGGCGGCACCCTCGGAGTCCACGTGCATCCCGGCAGAGTCCTCGTCGGCTTCGCCGTTCGCCAGCGGCATGGCGCAGTCCAGGCTGGGGGCTGCGGACAGCAGGAAGGCAGTGTTAGCAGCAGGTGCACGCACAGGTCAAGGGCCCCACTGAGAAGCTTCCTCGCTCTCACCTGTGCAGTGGGGGCCACGAGACCCTAAACACCTGTTCTAGAAGCCCCATGCGGCCCATTTCCCAGAGCTTGAGGCGGAGACCGGGACCCGGAAAACGGCAGCGCAGCCTGGACACAGCTCCGCACAGCTACCTACTGCCACTCCACCTTTTCTCCACCCTCGTTATGAAAAGGCAACCCGTGTGTTTAAAAGTTATTTGCACCAACATGACCTTGATTTGCGGTTTCCCACACACTGGAGATGCCCTTCAATGACACGCCAACAGTGCCGGCACGGCCACGCTGCCATGCTCTGCCAGCCTCCCCATCGGCAGGGCCCCAGCCGCAGGCTCAGGGACCCTGGGACACCCTGTGCCGGCACGGCCACACGGCCTCCACCCCATCAAGCGACCTGCTTGCTCCCGTCACAGTCCCCGACGAGTCTGCCGTGGTCTGGGCCACCTCGTCTCCATCACAGACATGAATGAACAGACTCCGGCACACCCTGCTGGCCCATTTCTGGATAGTTTCTATGACTGTTACTATTCCTGCCTTCTATTTATCTGAAAAGCACAGCTGCATGGCGAGACTGAGGCGCAAACGACGGCCAGGACTGATGCCGAGAGCCTGCTTGGTCTCGTGTGGCTGTGGGGACCTGAGCACCTGGGCCGTCCCCTGCTGCTTTCCCGGCACACTGGCAGGGAGTCGGACTGGAAGTGGAGCAGTCGGGACGCGAACTGGCATGAGTGAGTGACGCCAACAGCTCAGGTGGTGGCTTAACCCACTACACACCATGGCACCCACCCTTCTGGCGGTTAAACATCCAGAAGCATTTCCGTGCCAAGCAGGGCGACACACAGCGACTTTCAGAGCCGAGTGTTCAGACATTTTATAATAGGGAGAAATAACTATGCAACTTTAACCGGTTCTAATTCTAGAGAACAAGTTACTTTCTGGGTATGTACCCATTCCAGATTATCCTCCCAAGACACTAAGTGACTAGAGAAATCCAGTATGAGTGGCTAGGATCTGAACAGGGCAGCAGGCGTGGGGCCTGCTCCCTTCCAACAGGGTAGTGGGCTCTGTCTGCCCCCTTGGGCTCCGCAGCACAGCCGGCCTCAGCGCAGCGCTGCGGGGGAGGAACCGTCACAGGACCTGCCCGGCTCACAGCTCTGCATCCTGGCACCAGTGTCCCTTACAACCCCAGTCCTCGGAAGAGACTAAGCAGAAAACAGAGCAGCGTCACGGCGTAGTGAGGGGGAAGCTACCACCGCTAACAATGGCACCATCTAGCTCTCTGACCTCTGACCCAGCTCCCTACTAGCGGCCCCTGCACCCACCTGGGAGACCCAGACGCAGCTCCTGGTTTTGTCCTGGCCCAGCAGTGGCCATTGGGGTCGCCTGTCCACAGCGCTCACTCACAGCCCAGTGACTGCACATGGGGGGCAGGTGCGTGGGGTCACATGGAGCACACCAACAGCCCAGGCTACCCCGAGGCTCCAGGTCGGCCCAAGCCTTCCATCTTGTTTCTGTAGCATCGCATCCCCATCAGCCAGCTCAGACACCAGGCGACTGACCGTGCAGCTCCAGCCTGGGACACGCCACCTGCGTCCCGCCTGCAGGCTCGGCTTCCCTGCCACCCACAGAGCCCTGTGAGGAGCTGCAACTACACAGCGTGACGGCACACTGCAGCTGCCGGCTGCCCCTGGGCGCTGGCTCAGGACTTCTCTCACACTACCCATGCCCTGTTACCCCAGCTCAGGGGCCACCACGCCATGGAAGAAAGCGCAGACACTGTGGGAGAACAGTCTACATCCACCCTGAGTCTGGGAAGGCACCTCCTCTTTCTGTTGTCCTGCCGACCTGGACAATTAAAGGACAAGCCACTAGTACTTCTGAAAATGTCACTCTAATGGCCAGCTCCTCGTGTGCTCCTGCTGCCCGTGCCCAGCCTGCCCTCAGCCCTCTGCCCTGACCAGGGCCAGGCAGCACCGGGCTGGGGGCTGGTGCCTGGGCAACTCAGCTGACCTGACTTAAGGTGACCTCATGACCTGGCAGCCTGGGTCTCACCCAGAGGCCGCTGCTGTCACAGCACAGTTCCAGTCCATCTTACAAGGAGCACGCGGGACCTGAACATGGGAGCAAAGCTAACTGCCCAGAGCCCTGGCACAAGACAGCCCGGCTCACTGCAACTTGAAAGGCAGACAAATATCTTGAGGCCATACCCACACCTGCTGGCCCCAGGGCTGCATCCCAGGGACCCAGCAGGAAGCATGTGGTCTCAAAGGCCAGAACCGCCAAGCAGGTTCCTAGCACCCCCACCGGTGAGGCCAGGGCAGGTCCCTGGCAGATGGCAGGGCCCCTCCACACTACAGAGAACTGGAGGCCTCGGCTCCTCGCAACCATCACGTGCGGTTCTGCTCTGGGTGACCTTCCAGAGGTTGCAGCCATGCAGCTTGAGCTGATACGGCAGGGGACAGGTTCTGGAGCTGTGCTCATTGCAAGGGACAGGAAGCAGCTGCCTGAAGGAAGTGGGGTACACTTCCTCCAGCATCAGGCCCTAAGCCTCTGCCATGTTAACACAGAGGCCTCGCTGCTTGCTCCACCGCGGGAAGGTGCTGGAACACTGGGCCAGGGCAGGGATTCCTCCTGAAGGTGCCCTGGGCAAGCACTGCCGCAGGAGATCCCCCTGTGATGCGAAAGACCGGGAGGCGGATTTCCCATGGGAGACTTGGCGTCCCACCAGGCCGTTCCTGGGTGCAGTGCTGGACTGCGCTGGTGCCTGCGGCCCCTGGTGCAGACCTTCAGGGCTGTCAGGAGCCATGTACTATAGCCACACTGAAGCCATTCTGAATACAGATCTACGGGCAAATGGAAAACCCCCGGTTGGCTAGATGCTTGGGAAAGAGGTTATGAAACTGATCACAGCTTAGCTTCAATTGTTTGTAGCAACTGTTTCAGAATGTGATTGATGCTGTACCTGCCGACATCCTGTTACTGGTTACCTACGCTATTGTTGATACGCTGGTTACTATGGTGGCTGCTCAAGAACAATCGGTCTGGAGACCACGGCTTGCGTCCCAGTTTCTCCTTTCCTCCCTGAGCCTTAGTTACTGAAGAATATAAAAACCCTCAATTAAAATCAATAAACTGACAGCTTGATCAGACATCCTGTCTTGCTGAGCATTCTTCGTGTCTCCTGTCCCCCGTTCTCTCCTAGGTTGGTCGCAACCCCCGTTGACTGTCCTGCTGCACGGGACACAGAGTCACTGCCGCATTGCAGGAGCACCACAATGAATGACGCGCTCGGCATCTCCCTGCGCCTGGGGCCTGCTCGCTGCCCTGAAGGCCGGCAGGGAAGGCCAGCCCCCTCCCCGGAGGCTCACATAGCAAGTGCAGCCGGGGCTGCAACCTGGCCCACCAAGGGCTCGAGGCACACCGGTCCTTAACACTACTCCACAGCCCAGGGCCACGCTGGTACAGCCGCAGGCAGACACGGCCTGCGAGCAGCCGCCACATCCACTCACTCCTGCAGGGTCTGTGTTCATCCAGAACAGACAGCGCCATGTCAGGAGTCCATGCCCTTTCCATCCGTGGCTTCCCAGAACTCCCCAACAGGAACCACATGGGGAGCAGCGTGCCCCTCTGACCAAGTTCATTAGCGAGCACTTTACGGGTCTGGGGGTCTGGCTTTAGGCAGGAACTCCTCACTGGAAACAGTACTTCGTAACTCAACTTTCACCACCGAGGCCTCCTCTCCAGGTGCCTGGCACTTGCCCCCACTCAGCCCTCTGGCTGTCACCGAGCCCGTGCCGTGAGGCGGCGCCGGGACAGCTGACAGCACTTCCGACCATCCCAATTCCCCAGGCATGCTCCTGGTGGCCGGAGAACAAAGGCATTGGCCATCTCACCAAGACACCGAGTCTCAATGAGGACACGCACACACACGTGCGTGAGGGTGAGACAGCACACACACCCACACCTTTGGGTGTCTTTCTGGAAACAATCAGGTCATGAAGCACTGCATGAAATGACATGGGCATGGCGATGAGTCAGGCCCCCGCAGCCGGGCAACGGGCAGAGCCTCAGTGCAGCTGCCGCCCCTCGGCCAGCTCCCCCAGCGCTCACTGGCCTGCAGAGCCACCTGGAGTGCACCAGAGCTCGCTACAGATGCACGCCAAGGAAGCACACCTCCTTGCCGCACCCCAACATCCGCAGGCCAGCTGAGCTCACGGATAACACGGGAAGTCCCACGTGCGAACTCCTCACTGCCAAGCGCTGAAAACTCAGTAGCATTCGCATTAAAAGATGATTTCAACCAAATACAAGCAAAACCCCTTGCATTCATGGCACATAAACATGACTACACAGTCACACTCGGCCATCCACACTGCCACCTGGCCCACTCCGTCTCCCCGGTGAAGGAGCAGCCTGGAGGCCCGCCCGCGCGCACTCACCTTCCGTCCTGGCCTTCTTGGCTCCTGCGGGCTCCGCATCTTCTAAGCATCTCTTTCGATGCGCTCCTGCCCCGACGTGGTTGGGGAACAGGTCATGGGGTCCCCCGTGGAAGGGGCTGCCAGGGCAGAAGCCGCTCAGGGACTGGTTCTGGAGGCTCAGAAGGAACTGGGTGCACTCCTGGAAGCCCTGGGTGTGGGCAATGTCGGCTGCCGTCAGACCGCTGGCGTTTCTCAGGCTGCGCGACACAGAAGGTGGGGGTCAGGCCCTGTGGGCGGCAGGCGGGGAGGGGGCCTGCCCTGCCCAGCTGACTATCTGACATCTGAGCCATTCCATACACATCCACAGCCCGTCCGCAGTAAGGAAGGGGCCGGCCTGGCTGTTACTAACTCAAACACACTGGATTTCTCAGCAGGATTTGGGAGGTAGAAATTAGAAAACACCATCTTCCTATTTAACATCTCATGATAAGGTGTCAGTCTGAAGAGTCTCGATTTACGTTAACTTCAGACATCACCTGCACTCAACAACCCGTTCTCTTAGCTCAAGTAAACCATAACAAACAAGTACTGACATTGTCCATGGCATTTCTCGACAACTGGCTTCCTGATCTGGAAGCGGCGGGTCACCCGCCTACCAGCCAGCATTATCGGCGGCCTGTGGCACTGTAAGTGGAAGGCCAGCCCGGCCACCAGCCTCGGTAGCTCAAAGCGGGTGCCCACCAGGTCCGCTGCACCTCCTCTGTACTAGGTCTCCACTCCCGGCCGGTCAGGTTCAAGCAGGAAGCGGGGACAGGACCTAAGCCAGGGACCCCAACACAGCACAAGAGCCAGCTGACCTTGGGAGCACCACTCCGGGTGCTGTGTGAGAAGTAGGGCCGCACGCAGGGCCAGCCGCAGGCTGGAGGTGTCAAGGCAGCAGTCCACAGCCAGGGAAGTGACTAGCTCAGGGCCCACGGCTGTTGCCCTGGGCTCCTGGGAACAGCCCACCATGGTCCTCCCTGCGAAGAATGGGGAACAGAAGGGCCCAAGGCCTGATGGACTGGAAAAGATGCGACTGACCAACTCCAGAAAGGACCCAGTCCCATAGGGAAGCCTGGCCTTGAAGCTGCTGCCCAGTGCAGCTCTTGGACACACAGTGAGCAGTGTAGAACAGCTGCAGGGACCGGAGACGAGCTGCCAGCTCCCCAAGAACTGACGCTGGCCCCACACTGTCTAGCAATCCCCGGCCCTCTTGGCCACACCTCTCTTAGAGGACGACCTGTGTGCAGCAGGCAGGCCAGGGAGAAGAGGATCTTCTAGAACACATCCCGGGGTCTCCCCACGGTGACACCTGGGCGGCAACAGTGCCTCTGCGTCTTGTCCAGCACTGCCCTCACCAGGAACGGAGGACTCCGCTGGGAATGCCTGCCGTTCCTCCCCACCCACCTGCACTCGCCACCCCACAGTCCACTTGTGTGTCTAACAGCATGCAGCCATGTTACCAGGAAAGTGGCCCGAGAGTCAGCCCTCGGCTGGGCTCAGTCGGGGCCACGTGCCAGTGTTCCCACCGCACCTCACTCCACCCTCCTCCAGTGAGGACCTTGAGGCCACAGCAACAGGTTCCTGCCCTCCACCTCGTCCTGGCAGTAGGGACATTGGGGAGTGAACCAAGAAAGGGGCTCTCAGACCATAAAACCCAAAACTCCCTCTGGACATGAAATCCGGACTTTACGGAATCTTCTGGGACATTAAGTACCCTGACTTCTGACCAACCCTGATGTTGTACGGCCCACTCTCAGCTAAGGGGCAGACCCATGCTGTGTGCTGGCACTAAGTCTCCCCTGCCACAGCATGCAAGAAGTTATGACAGGGGCCGGCGTGTCAGCTCAGAGTGCTGGCAGCCCTCAGGATTGCTGGTTTGTGTCCCAACTACGCCAGTTCCCATCGGCTCCCTACCCTGGGCAAGCAGCAGGGAATGGTCCATGTCCTCGGGCCCCTGCACCCATGCAGAAGACCAGGAAGAAGCTCCTGGCTTGCAGCTCCAGATGGGAGTTCCACCTTTCTTTCCACCTTTTTGTACATCTACCTTCCCAATAAAAATGAATGAATCTTTAAAAAAAAAAAAAAAAAAAAAGCCTTGCGTAGGTGAGCCTCAGGAGGGTGCCTTGCCACACACGCCAGTGCCCCAGGGGCGAGCACCAGACTGCAGGCAGGGACAGCACAAGCTCCATGTCTCGGGGCTGCCACTTACACTTCCCCTGTGGCTCAGCAACACTTGAGCTGGGACAGGTGACCCGGCTGACCCAGGTCACAAGCCGTCCCACATCCTGCTTAGTAAACTGCAGGTGGAGTCCCAAGCTTACATTTCCCTGTCCGGGCCCTGCACGTGGTACAGCGGGCCTATCAACACCCCCTGCGGCTGCCGGCTGGAGTCCCAGCTGCTCCAGTCCTCACCCAGCTCCCTGCTGATGGCCTAGGAAAGCAGAGGAGGATGCCCAACTCCATGGGCCTATCCACTCATGGGGCAAGCCAGAGGAACCTCCTGGGTCCCGGCCGTGGGTCAGCTCAGCTCCAGCTGCTGAGCCACTTGGGGAGTGAACCAGTGGATGCATTTCTCCGAGTCTCTCCTTTCCTCTCCTGTAACTGAATTTTAATTAAAATACTTTTAAAAATTCAATTTCAAATTGAGCAGGTTTCAAAGCTAGCTGTTTTGGGTTCTTTGTAACATTCAGTTTAGTGGGCCCACCGCTAAAGTCCTCGCCTTGAAGGTGCCAGGATAATATACAGGGGCCAGTTCTAATCCCAGCAGCTCCACTTCCTATCCAGTTCTGTGCTTGTGCCCTGGGAAAGCAGTCGAAGACTGCCAAAGCCTTGGGACTCTGCACCTCAGTGGGAAACCTGGAGGAAGTTCCTGGCTCCTGGCTTCCCATCAGTGCTGCACCAGCCGTTGCAGTCACTCAGGGAGTGAACCATCAGACGGAAGATCTTCCTCTCTGTCTCTCCTCATCTCTGTACATCTGCCTTTCCAAAAACAAAACAAACAAACAAAAACAACTTTAAAACAACAACAAAATTTAGTTAACCGTACAAGGGTGCTTCAAAGGATCAGTGGGAAATGCAATTAAAAGATGAACTTACAGAGGCCAGCACAGTGGCACAGCAAGCTAATGCTCCATTGGTGTCAGCTTCCCACACGGGTGCCAGTTCATGTCCTGGCTGCTCCCCTTCCTGCCCAGATCCCTGCTAACGGCCTAGGAAAGCAGCAGAGGCTGGACCAAGTCTTTGGGTCCCTGCACCCATATACACTGGAGACCTGAAGAAGCTCCTGGCTTCCAACCAGCCCAGTTTCGCCCACCGAGGCCATTTGGGGAGTGCACCAGCTAATACAAGATCCCTGCCTCTCCTTCTCTTTCCCTAATACTTTCAAGTAACAAAACAAAAAACCAAAATAAAGTGACCCTATTTTATTCTCCTAGTCAGTGGGAGGGCACAGGGGACAGAGGTGCAGGTTCTGCGCTGTCTCCCCCAGAATCTGGGTACAGTAGATGGGTCAGCCAGCAGCCGTTCACTGAATGACACAACGAATGCTGTCCACTCCCGTCTGACTTGAGATGGTGACTGGCATGGGTGGAACAGACTGTTAGGAGCTAAGCTGAGAGCACTAGGCTTTCGCCAACACCTGCAGGCTGCCCAGCCTCCACAGGCCCCGGGAGCCTCTCAGACCCGAAACCAGCTGTCTAACTGTCAAACCCTGACCAGCCTTCAGCGTCAGTCCGTTGGCCTGGGGAGTGAGGCAGCAGCTCGGGTCACAGTGAAAACACAAATTCTGTGTTTTCTGGAAGAATATTCCGAGCAGAATGGCGATAGCTGCCACAGCCAAGGCTTCCTCCCCCGAGCCTGGGGACAGCCCTGCCACTGGCCGACCCCACGACGTTCCACTTACAGTGCCGGGACGCCACCAGAAGCGGCTTCAGATGACGAGCTTTGCTGGTGGTTGCTGCTTTTTTTTTTTTAAATTTTGAAAAACCACAAAGAAATACCCGAAATGCATTAAAAAAAAAAAAACTCAAGCTGTCACATCACCTCTGTGATGTTGTGTTTTTGCTAATGCCATGTGACAATAAAAAGATAATCACAATTTTTATATAACTATTTCTGTTAAAGTTCTGATCTCAACTTAGCTATTGTTAGTTTACAAATAAAAAGGTAGATATCATAAATTAGGGTAAGCAAAGCATGCAAATCTAAAGAAGCTATATCTGAATTCCTAGATTAGCATTAAAACCAATCACCGCAACAAATACCTCCTCAGCGTCCCTTGCGTGCGGAGGGGAAGCGGCGCTGAGCAGCGGTGCCACAGCCGTAAGGCGGGGACGCACCTGTGGCAGCTGCAGCGGCTTCTATATGGAATGCTCCCCCTTTCTGGGGCGACTTGAAAAAATCAAGTCAATTCGAATTACGTAGCTGTAAGACATCGACATGTGTTGTTTTGATAGGTTCAGAATCTCCTGGGCGACTGAAAACGGGCAATGGTTCACACAGGGAACTTCAGCAGCGTAAGGGATCACATACTCGCAGGCAACATCTGGATTCAAAGCACGTGTCCACACGGGCAGAGCAGCACGGCTGACCGCGGCCCTGCCCGCCAGCTCTGCCTCCCAGCCACCTCCGGCAACCTCCCAGCATGGAGCCAATTTGAATAGGTCAGTATTTCAACAAAGGTGTGACAGTATGACTAAAAACCATGAACTCACGATTCTGGTTACTTTAAAATTTGGTAAGCTGTATCTCAAATACATTAGTAACTAGTCCTAGATGGGAATAAGCAAATACATGGGATCATTAAAAAAAAAAAAAAAGGAAAAAAGATAAAACACATCACCAAATGTCCATTTGTACAGACAGAACAGCAGCAAACATCTGAAAGGTCTTCAAAAACAAATCAAACCTCCCCACACATAGATGTATTTTTAACCCTTTGTTATTCAAACTCTTACAGTTACATAATTACATAAAGACTTTCAGGGAACTGAAGCAAGGAACTGCGGTCTGAAGTTTCTCCCTGGAAGGGTTTGGTGCCAAGTTTTCATTTCAATTCCAACAATCCCAGGCATGGTTCAGCTCACTGCACCTGGAATCCTCACCGTAACATCCGAGCGGCAGCGCCAGGCAAGGCCGCCGCGTGGGGACAGCTGCCGGACGGGAGGGGACGCCACCACCGGGGAAGGCCCACCCGGAGCTGTGACCCTCTCACGACGGGGTTATGCTCACCGGCCTAGGAGCCAGCCAACCTCAAGAAGCTGTGGGTTTCCGAAGGTGAACCTGGGGTACGTTCTGCCTGCCAAGAGCAGACTCGGAAATGAGCTTTGCCACATGCCCCATGCCTGCCTAGTGAGTTCTGCTTGCAGAGGACAGGCACGTGCCCACCACACTATGCCAACTCCATGTCAGCAACTGACTCCCAAGGCACGCGAGTGCTACCGTGGCCAAGCGGGAGGAGGGGAGTTCCAGAGAGCGTCTTTGAACCCGCTGGTTTGGGGCCTGGAGACCCTCCACCACGCGGGACCACTGCCAGTTTTCCTTGGGATTAACACGACTGAATTAAGCTACACTCCTTTGGGGTCCAGGCATTATGGGGCCGCAGCCTGGGAGGAAACCCATGAGACCTCGCTGCCCAACTCCGGCGCCTGCACGGGGGCCACAGCGCCCCACCAACCCGAGACTCGGGGGATTCTGGCCCCGTTCCAAGCCCAACCATGCTGGCATCTGGCCGACAGGGAGGCCCAGAGCAATCCCTGGGATCACAACCTGCTCTCATGACACGGAGCACTGAATGGGTCCCCCAAAGGCCTCCGAGCCTCGCTGCAGGCCACACCTCGGGCCCCCAGAGCCAAGCGGCGCCCCACGCCAGCCGCAGAGCAGCACTGGTGCTGAGCGGTCTTGCCGCGCCCCAGCGTGCTTCCTCCAACACGGACACAGCACAGAGCTCTGCTGAGAGCCGAGGCCAAGTCCTGCCAACTTTAATTGTTCCAACTGCAGCAAGTAATGACTGCATGTACGCAGTCTCACATGGAAAAGAAAACTTGGCACCAAAGCCCAAGATTCAAACAGAGAAGGGAAAGGAAGTCTGTTCGCATACTCACGTGCGGTGCTAGGCAATTTACTAGGGCGCGACGGCACACAGACGTGCCTACGTTCCCAAGAGCCGCGGCACGGCCCGCTCTAGCCCCGCCACTCAGTACTCTCGCCCCATGATTAGCTACCTGATGACCAAGAAGGCACAGTGTCAGACTGTGGCCACTTCACGTAGCAGGCACATGAAAGGCAAAGCAGGAATGAAGAGCAACGTTATTCATCTGAAAATACTGACAATGAGGAAGCTTTCACACTACGGGATAAGGAAAAAATATCTATGCTGTCTTTAAATAGTACGGTGCATAACATAACAAATTCATAAATCTGGTCCCATTTAGAATGGGGAAAAAGCAACCTCCAGTCAGAAAGCTCCTTCCGTCCCTCTGGTTCTTCCAAGGGGACAGGCCTGTCATCCGCCGGGACAGCAGGTGGCGTGGCATGCGCACGCCGTGGGGACCAGGCCGTCAAGTGCTGCAGGCCACATCTGGTTCACTGCTAACGCAAACCACCATATTTACGGCAGCATTCTGTAACGGTTATTGGTGGTCTAGCTCCGGGCTAAGCACTTATTATAAGAACTGTTTTTAATATGGAGCTCAGGCCAAGTTCTTGAAAAACAAAAGTAAACACGGCAGGGACACAGCGAGCGCAGTGCGGATCCCAAGGGCTGCTCTGTTCCCGGGAGGGACAGCGGCCTTGCCCAGGGCTCGGCCTGCCCGCCCAGGGCTCGGCCTGCCTGCCCAGGGGCCTGGGACCAAGGGCACGGGTTGCAAAGACACCTGCTTAGAAAACTCAGCACAGGTACGTAGTGCACAGTCATAGTGCTGTAAAGGCACCAAGATCAAACTGCGCCTTCGAACGCTCAGAACTCCCAGCCTTTTAACAAAATCTCCAGGGTCAACTATTGCTTCAAAATCCAAGCTGTTATCTTAAAGTCATCAATAAACGACAGGCGATTTAGTCAGTTATTTCACACAACTTTGCATTCTTAAATCAAACCTTCTGTTCATTTAAGGACTTGATTTTGTTTTAGTCGAATCAACAGAGCTGGAAACGAGGCCCCAGCTGCTCTAACTGTGCTTTCCGAGGCACCGCTCAGCCGCTCGTCTCCAGCGCGAACCGCTCGCAGCCAGTACCCACATCCGACCTGGTTTTACGTTACCTTCAGTCATAACTAGACGCGGTCCCGGGGTCCCTGCAAGGGAAGGGTTAGCATGGCCGAGCCCAGCGAGCTGGCTCCAAGGCCAGCTCGTGCCGTCCTGCTGTCTAGCAGTGAAACCGAAGGGTTAAACTCAGTTGGGTGGGGTTTGTTTCTCCCAGGCCCCTGATTCTCACACCCCCAATTAGGACACCGTGATTCCCCGCTCACATTTATGACTTATCTGTAACACTTAAAGTAAACCCCAAAGGCTGAGCGAGCAGCGATGCTGGCTGCTGCGGCTCCACAGCTAGGGGCGAGCCCCGCATCCATGGGCTATGCTGCGAACGGCAGAGGGGACATTTCACCATGTAAACCTTTAACAGGACGTTAATACAAGGGAATTTAACACCTAAAATAAAATAAACACACACGTTACGGCTAGCTAGTGATTCTTCATACAAGAGCACATTTCTAAGCTGACGCAGCTCAACGGGCAGCTGTGTCCGACCCGAGGAAGCTGGCTGAGGTGGACTGCATGAAGCAGGGGGCATCTTAAACAGTGCCACCGCTCGGGGCCCTGAGCAAGCATGCCATCTCCCAGAGAGCTGCCGACCACAGTCCCGGGCGGGCTTTAACACCTCACGCCCCCGAGTTCCGGTACCTGCTAACGCGTGCCCCACAGGCCTGGGAAATCTTCTAAACCCCAGTCCCGGCCTCACAACTAGAGCCCGGCACGGAAGGTCTGAAGACCCGGCCAGGGTGGCACCGGGCCCAGGGCCACGTGGGCAACGGCTCCTAGAGCCAGGCTGACCTGGTGGACAGGGGTTAGAAGTCTGCCCGGGGCACACGACACCCGCGCCCGCCCCCGCTGTGGGCAGGGGTACGAGGAGACACTTACTCGATGCGCGCCCCGTTGGCTGCCAGGGCGCTGAGGCAGTCCAGGCTGCCGGAGCGGGCCGCCTTGTGAATGGGAGTCTCACCTTCACAGTCCTGCAAGAGAAGGACAACGGCACACTCAGACCCGGGGCACCAGGGTGGCAGCGAGGTGGCGAGCAGCACAGCACCCAGCTGAAAGGGGGAGCCAGGGGCAGCAGATGCTTCACAATGGGGTCTGAGGCCACCCTGAACCCCCATGGCAAGAACACCAACCCTCCGCTGCCATGGATAGGGCTCTGGTGTTGGGTCCCAGCACAAACATGTCACAGTCAAAAAAGGGCAAGGCAGGGCCCAGCGGCGTGGCCTAACGGCTGAGGTTCTCACCTTGAACGCGCCAGGATCCCATGTGGGCGCCGGTTCTAATCCCAGCAGCTCCACTTCCCGTCCAGCTCCCTGCTTGTGGCCTGGGAAAGCAGTCGAGGACGGCCCAAAGCTTTGGGACCCTCCACCCACGTGGGAAACCCAGAAGAAGTTCCTGGCTTCGGATCGGCACAGCACTGGTCATTGTGCTCACTTGGGGAGTGAATCATCGAACGGAAGATCTTCCTCTCTGTCTCTCCTCTCCGTATATCTGACTTTCCAATAAACAAATAAATCTTAAAAAAAAAAAAAAAAGGGCAAGGCAGCGGCTGAGACAGGGCTCACAGACAGGCCACACCCCGGGCAGGTGCCCAGCCCAGAGGCCGCAGCTGCAAGGAGCGCCATGGGCCGGAGGGGACAGGGCGCTGACAGGGCCTCACACCTCTATGCAGCTGGAGGCGACCTTGCAGCTAGATGGTTTCCTGGGACTCACACGCGGCCTGCCGACAACCCCACTCCAGACGAGCACTGTGCGGGAAGCCAGGCCCGGCACTGGCAGCCCTTCACCCTGAAGGCAGACCCTGTCACAGACCAGAGACGGGGTGCCAGAGCCCACTGCTGGCCAGCCCCGCCGTGGAGGGAAGGTGTCAGTGTGGACATGGAGAGGGACAACACGAGCCACAGCTGTGGGCCCCGGACCCACGTGGGAGACCCGAAGGAAGCTCCCGGCCTGGCCAGCCCAGCCCTGCGGAGAGGGAACCGGCAGGCGGAGAATCCATGTCTCCCAATGACCAATTCCCACCCAGGACCTTGAAATGAATAATAAACAAACCTCGGGCCCTGCACAATAATTCAGCTGCTAATTCTCCCAGTGGAAGCAAGGATCCCATATGGATGCCAGTTCATATTCTAGCTGCTCCACTTCCCATCTAGGACCCTGGTTGTGGACTGGGAAAACAGCAGAGGATGGCCCAAGGCCTTGGGACCGTGCACCCATGTGGGAGACCCTTAACAAGCTCCTGGCTTCCAGTTGGCTCAGTTTCAGCCATTTGGGGAGCGAGCCAGTGGACTGAATAGCTTTCTCTGTCAATCTGTCTTTCCAATGGGAAAAAGAAAATCTTCAAAGGTAAAAGGCTGCTGGCCACCAGGCGGTCCAAGGCAGCCTGCACAGGACTGAGTCCTGCAAGCACCAACGCCGCCCGCCCACAAGGCAGCCCCCAGGGCATCTGAAGCAACAACTGGCTCACCCAGGAGTGGCAGCCTGGGCTCCCCGCCAGCCGCTGGCTGTAACCCGGGGCCAGTGAGTCAGCCAGCCGACAGGTGGAAACGCTCTACAAAGGGCAAGCCTTGCCCAGCGGGGCCCTGTCCTGCAGGGAGCCACAGCACCTCCGCCCAGGCACAGCTCCCAAGCGCTAAGCCGCCAACCCCATCATTATCCAGGCAGAGCCGGCCGCGGGAGCCCCGGAAGACGGGCGCACACACAGCCTCAGTGGTGTGCGAGCGTTGGCTCCGGCGAGGATCAGAGAGACAGACAGAGTGCCTTACCGGTTTGTTAACGTTGGCTCCGGCTTGGATCAGCCACACCAGGCACTGCGGGTGTCCCCCGAAGGCTGCGCTGTGGGCCGGGGTCTGGGCAAAGCGCGTGGTACACACGTTGAGGGTGGCTCCAGCTCTCACCAGCTGGACCAGGCACTCCAGCTTGGAAGACAGCGAGAGGGGACAAAAACAGCGACGTGTGGGTATTCATCACCGAGCAGCACATGACACAGTTCTCTCAAACCAGGCCATCCTTCCCAACGCGGCGCGTCTCTAACAGCCCTGCTCACAAGCGGGCACCTGGGAATAACGCTACAAAGACAAAACAACTTGGGTGGGGCCTGGCGAACAGCCGACTGGCTAAAGTCCTCGCCTTGCACGCGCCAGCATCCCATACGGCCCGGGTTCTATCCCGCAGCCCCGCTCCCCTCCAGCTCCCTGCTGTGGCGCGGGAAAGCAGTGGGGGACGGCCCGAGCCTGGGGACTCTGCCCCCGCGTGGGAGACCCGGAGGAGGCTCCTGGCTCTGTATCAGCTCTGCTCCGGCCGCTGCGGCCACTTGGAGAGTACGGAAAACCGTTCTGCCTCTCCTCCTCTCCGTAATTCTGTGCAATAAAAATAAGTCTTAAGAAAAAAAAAAGCCGGGCATTCCTACAGTGATCCGACCCCCAGCAGAAAGGCTGAACGCGAGGGTCAGGATCCGGACACGAGCCCCCGGTGTCCAGTGTCGCCCAGTCCACAGCCCCCGCGGACACGTGCACTCTGCACGTCACGGGGCCCTTGGGGCGACGCGTGCCCAGCAGCTCGCGGTCAGCACACCCCACGCCTCAGCCGCCCTGGGGGCACACTGCAGGTCCCCGCGGGAGCCGGGCACGCCCGCCAGCCCGCAGGCTGCCCCGCACCTTCGCACTCCTCCCTGGCACCTTCCCCGGGGATGTCACCCAAGCCCCGAGAGGCGTGGGGCGGAGGGCCACGCGGCGCGGCTCCCAGGGCCCCGCGTCTCTCAGCCGCGCTCCGCGTCCCCACGACTCCGGCAGGCCGCCGCGCATGCGCGCCAGGAGCGGCGCCGCCGGACGCCCCCCGGACCGCGCGCCGCCGCACATGCGCGCTGGGCCCCTCGGGGAGCCGGCGAGCCCACTTCCGCCCCGCGCTCCCGGCACGCCCCGCGCCCCCACGCCCTCCCGCTGCCCCGCAGGAAGGCCGCGGAACATGGCGCCTTAAAGCGCCCGCGCCCACCTTGCCGAAGTGCGCGGCCCAGTGCACGGGCGTCCAGCCGTAGAAGGAGTCCTCGGCGGCCAGGTGGGCGCAGGGCGTCTGCTGCAGCAGCGAGCAGAGCGCGGCCAGGTCCCCGTCGCGGCAGGCGCGGTGCAGCGGGAAGCGGAGCGACAGCAGCTCCTCGCTGGAGAAGCCCGCCTCCACACCCGCGCTCGCCCCTGCCGCCGCCATGGCCCCTCACGGACAGTGCACCGCTAACGAGCCCAAGCACGCGCCGGGCAGACCGAGAGGCCGTCGCCGAGTACGAACACAAAAGGAAAGCAGCGCCGCCGCCGCCGCCGCCGCCGCCGCGTCCCGTCGGCTGCCGAGCCCAGCGCGCACTGAGGGAGGGCGGGGCGGGGGCGGGGCCACGGCGGGGGCGGGGCCACGGCAGACGGCCCGCTGGAATGGGCACCCGCAGCGACCGCCAGGGCAGGGGGCGGGGTCACGGCGGGGGCGGGGCCACGGCAGAAGGCCCGCTGGAATGGGCGCCCGCAGCAACCGCCAGGGCAGGGGGCGGGGCCACGGCGGGGGGCGGAGCCGGCTGGAATGGCGCCCGCAGCGGGGGCGGAGCCGGCTGGAATGGCGCCCGCAGCGACCGCCAGGGCAGGGGCGGGGCCACGGCGGGGGGGCGGAGCCGGCTGGAATGGCGCCCGCGGCGGGGGCGGAGCCTGCGGGAGCATGGAGCGCCTGGAGGGCGGCGGTTCCTGGCTGCTGGCCGAGCCTCCCCCGTCACGCCAGGACTAGGACCCTAATGACGCCGAGGCCTGTGGGGCTGTAGCCCTCCCGCCGCTGGAGTGGGGCCGGGTGCGGACGCCAGGGCTGGAGGTGTCCGGCCAGGACTAATTCCTTTCTGTGATTACCCCTGCGCACCTAGGCGACTTGAAAGCGGCCTCCAAGTTGAGAACAGGCCGCAGGAAGGGGCCTTTTCTCCTCAGAAGTCTGCCCCGGAAGGGTCGTGAGGCATCTTGCTTTCCTCAGAAAACTGCCGCGGAAGGCACGTCAGGATGCCCCCAGTGCCACGTCTGCCTGTGGCATCCCGGGTCGCTGAGCTCTCCGCCTTCCCCAGTGATGACGTTTGTTGCTTCCGGGGTCTTCCTGGTCGCACATTTGGTCTCGTCTGTACGACTTTGGGCTCGTGGGTGCCCTACTTTTTTATTTTCATGTTTCATAAAATTTCTACGTCGGCAAAATTCAACTTTAAAGTAGAGGAGCAGAGGCCTTGAAAAATGATTTTCAGTCTGAAAGCACGTGGCGGCGGCAGTCGGGCCGGAAGCAGCTGGCATTTGGCACCCGGCTCAGAGCGATGGCGCAGGCCGCTGTGCCCGTGGGCGCGGGCAGGCTGGCTCTGCAGCCAGTGCCGGTGCCCCGCGCGTGGACCAGGCGCGGTCCTCACTGTCACCTGATGGCAGACACGGCCACGCCAGGTGTGAAGTTCTGATTGTCACCCACGGCCTGCTCGAAATCAAGTCCTGGCTGTTACCCAGTGACAGACCCGCGTACTTGCAATGACTGCCACCCTGCACGTGGGCCTCCACCTGCCAGAGGGCTGCCCTGCTCTGCCCCCCGGGCTCACCCTGCTGTGCCACGGGGGGCTTGCTCAGGGCCGCTGTATGGCTGGGGCTGAGAAGGAACCAGTCCTAAACTGCCAGGGACTTTTTCCAAGCCTGGACTTGATTTCGCTTATAGAATAGAGACCCAGGAAAAGAACATGCCAGTAGTGGTCTCCCACATGGGTGCAGGCTCCCAAGGCCTTTGGGCCATCCTCTGCTGTTTTCCTAGGCCACAGACAGGGATCCAAATCAGAAATGGAACAGCTGGGATTCGAACCAGTGGCCACATGGGATCCTGGCACCTCAGGCAAAGGCTTGGCTTGCTATGCCACAGCACTGGCTCCAGGTAAGATGAGTTTGAAGAAGCACGTAGACTGTATCCATGTTGTGATTTCTTTATGTGTGTACAATGTTCATGCTGCTGGAGCCCCAGGAAGGGCCCGTGGCTGTGTGGATGGAGCAGTACGGGTCCCAAGGCTCTGCCGCCTGAGGCGCCCACGCGCAGCCCAAGCCATTGCCGAAAAGCTGGAGCGCCCGCTTGGTTTGTATTTGGTGAAGCGATCCCCAAATTACGGAAACGAGAGTATGTGGAGGTGGAGAGCAAACAGGCCAGAAGTGAGGCTGACCGGGCTGCGGGTGCCTGGAAGCAGGTGCGAGGCAGGACCCAGGGCCCGGGGGTGCGGGCTGCTCAGGGCGCACTCTGGCAGGGCCCCCAGTCAGGTTTCCAGTACGGAGCCGGGTCCTTTCCAGAAGTGGGGAGCGAGTGAGGGGTCTGGCTGGGCCCATTCTGCTCTTCGCTCTTCTCCCTGTCCACGCCCACCTGCGGGCAGTCCATCTTGTCGGAAGGCACATCTGAAGTTGTATGGCGGGTTCCAAACGTCAGCGGGGCGGACGCTGCCTTGCTGTGGACTCCCATAACGTCAGCTGCATTTTCATGTCCACGTGGGATCATAGAAGTTTGCAGGAAATTCCTATCATGGGGGGAAAAAAAATAAAGCCCATAGCAGGCTTCTAAATTCCTTGCGCAGGAATCAGCTTACCTTTTACGGCAAGCCTCATCTGTTGGGTTGGAATTGTTCCAGCATTTACAGTGCTAGTCAGAGTAGTCCCTCTGCCCTGCGACAGACTCACAGCCACAGGAAGTGTCTGTCCCACCCCTCCCAGTGGTGCCTGAAGCGAGCCCCAGATGCTGACCTGGGACCGGGCTGGCCAGCTTCTCCAGGGCCTTCTTGTGGGCTGCCCAGCTGATGGCATCCCAGTTCCAAGGCATGGGTGCTTTATACCCTTGTGCCGCCCCCTGCCCACCAGCATGCATGCCCTCTGCTCTGGGTCGGATGTGCTCTCCCTCCCAGCCCGAATGAAAAGAGAGACTGCAGAAATGACCTTTATTTGGCTCATCGCAGCATGAGCGTGGGAGTCTGTGTGCCATGATAAACTGAGGTACTCTCAGGGAGGCTGCTTGAGGCGGTGAGAGTCTTTTGAAAAAGCTGACCGTGCCAGGGCGACCCGCGTCCGGAAGGGAGACACACACCAGGCAGCCATCCTGTGTGGGCTGTAGGGGTGAGGGCTTCTGAGCAGGAGCTGAAACAGCAGGTTCACCTGTTCAAAGAAAGAGGCGGGCCTGGCAGTGGCTTCTGGGGTGGGGATGAGCCTGCAGGTGCTTTCCTGGCACCTTGACCTTTGACCTGGTGCCTGTGCAGCCGTGTACCAAGTTCCCAGGCAGTTACCTAGTTTGTCCATGTTGTGACCATAGTGACAAGTCCTTGACATGTCACTGATGTAGTGAAATGTGCTCAGGCAGGCCCACATGGTGGCGGGTGAGCGGGGGGGGGGGGGGGGGGGTGGTGTCACTCACCCCTGACGAAGGTGTCCTAGGGCCAGACGCGGGCCGCTGGCCTGCCACCAGCCCGTGCACGGCCCCACACCTGCCAAAGGATTTCTGCTTTCTTTACCCTTCTGGAAAGCCCCACCATTGTTATTTATTCCCTGAGAACCTTCTGGAAGCAAGAACATTCCACCTGGATAGGAATTCCCCTGGATCTAAGAAAAAATCATGAAACCTGCCAAGTATTGTTGTGGGATGGGGCTTGTGAAAATTTTTTTATTGATTACATTGCATTATATGACATAGTTTTACAGGCACTGGGATTCCCCCCACCCCTCCCTAAACCCCCCCATGATGGATTCCTCCACCTTGTTGCATTACCACAATTCAAATTCAGTCGAGATTCTTTCATTGCAAGCATCTACCAAGCATAAAGTCTACCATCTTATTGTTCAGATAAGTTCAACGGATTTTTGGGGAGACCATCTCTGGTCTGAAAGTAGAGCCGGCAGAGTATCATCCCGATCAATTAAAAGCCCCGACATTACATCAGTAACAATGTATAACATTGTGGAATTATTTGACATAGTATTGAGTAACCAATATGTTAAAAGAGAAAAAAAAAAGAATGCAAGTTCTGGACCACATCCTGTGACTTCTACATTGACATTTCACTTATTAGTCTATATACAACCAGGTTCTATACACCTTAAAATGGCTATAAGATTACTATTCAGCTGTCTCATGACTATTTTAATTTTAGTATTTAGCAGTTTATAGCGTTGAAGCATGATTTTGCTGAAACTGGCTGTTTTACTGGTAGTCTAACTCGATAACTCTAACAAGACATATGTCAACAGGTTAGGCGAACAGTTTTAGGAGGGGTGTGCAGAGAAATCTTCAATACCCCAGTGAGGAGTAACTAAGAGTTATAAGTGCATCCTCGCTGACCATTTCCTGTCTGATTCCAAGCCTTCCTTGTTGTTCTCTATCTGTTCTAGATTTTTTTTGTTGTTGTTGTTTGTTTATTTGTTTGTTTTGAGTGGTTTCTGGAGTGACCCTGATGGTCATTGCGAGAGAGGGTGGGGACCCAAAGTCGGAACCAGGCAAGGACCAGAGAAAGCTCCTCTCCCAAGTCCCGAAGGAAGTTTACTGTTCTTCTGTTTCTGCGGACTGCTCAGGGCTTCTGGCTGTTGTTCCATTGACCTTGGATTCTGCAAGGAAGGATTTGGGCTTCTTCCATCCCATGTGGTAGATCCAGATGGGGGTGGGTGACCTCAGAGTTCTCGGCCTCCGAAGGCACTCCAGTTCCCCGTGGTCTCCTTGGCGGTTGGGATGTAGTCCTCGGAGCTCGTACTGATAGTCCTTGGTGAGGATCTGGGAGTCTTCAGGGTTGGGATACAAGCCTCCTTCTGTCCCCCTGCTCCACTCTGGGGTCCCCCATGCTCCATGCATATGACCTCCTGTTAAGAGGTTGTTGGGATTGCTCCTGATTCCCCCCATATGCCTTTGTAGTTTTGCTATTGTCTAATGCTGACTCGAGTCTGTTGTCTCTGAGTTACCAGTTATGATCCTGATAGGTTATACTTCCCGTCTTCCTCACACCTTCTCGGGTGATGTAAGATTTCTCTGCTCTCCCTCCCCATTTCCGAGTAGCATAGGGCCTTACAAGGATATTAGGTTTTACAATTCTTTGATGATGATCATAAGCAGTCTGACTCACATTGATTGCTGGTTCATTGGTTACTTCACAATATCTTATTGCACGAGATACAGGCTGTTTGGGGTTGAAATAATATTACTGTTTTTTGGATTGACATCATTTCATAACACCTACATCAATAATAACAACATCAGTAACAAATTATATCACCCTGAAAAAATAATGCGCCACTGAGTAACCAGCACATGTGTGACAAAAAGGAAACACAGAAATCTCCTGGGAAA